TTCCCAGTGGACCCCGCCGGTTTCGGAAGAGGCTTGGACGTTGGTTTTCCGGTGGACCCCGCCGGTTTCTTTGGTTTCCCAGTGGACCCCGCCGGTTTAGGAAGAGGCTTGGCCATTGGTTTCCCAGTGGACCCCGCCGGTTTCGGAAGAGGCTTGGACGTTGGTTTCCCGGTGGACCCCGCCGGTTTCTTTGGTTTCCCAGTGGACCCCGCCGGTTTAGGAAGAGACTTGGACGTTGGTTTCCCAGTGGACCCCGCCGGTTTGGGAAGAGGCTTGACTTTTGGTTTCCCAGTGGACCCCACCGGTTTGGACTCCGTTGATGTTGGGAGAGGACCGGACTTTGGTGTCCCAGTAGATCCCACGGACGTCGAAGAAGGGCCGGATGCCGTTTTACGAGATAAGTCCACCACCTCTGGAGCGGGTTTCCCCACGGAAGTCACCGGGCTACCACGACGACGAGAGGCACGTGACCGAGCCATCGCCGCTAGCAGAGACTCATCGCTGCTACTGGACTCGTCTTCAGGGGAACTTGGGGCACGGGTGGTCCGACGCTTCTTCGATGAGGAAGGGGCTGGAACTTCGGCAGCAGGAGACCGAGATCTTTTAGCCCTGGAAGGTCCTGGGACCTTAGTCTTAGGCGAGGCAGATCTATCCGCGGCGCTCCGAGCTACGGCCAGCTGTTTCTGGAGCTGGTCCCGTTGGCAGGCGACTTGCTTCACGAGGGATTTAGAGCGGGCCAGCTCATCTCGAAGTAGTGACACTTGAGATACGGTGGACCGAAGATCGGCCGTGGTGGTATCCAACTTGGCCTCCAGCTCTTCTATCTGAAGTGTGAAGCTCGTCACCGTGGCCTCATACTGGACCCTCCAGTACCGAATCTTGGACCGAGACGCTTCAACTTCAAGTCGATAATCCTTCCGGGTGGCGAGCGCATCTCGGTATTCCGCAATGGTTAGCTGGTCGGTTTCGTGATCGCGGACGAGCTTCCGAATTCGAGCCTCGATCCGGGGGAGATCAACTTTTCCAAATCGAACGACCTCGTCCACGCGACTGTGCAAGTCTTGGGCCCGGCGATGCTCAGCCTGATAGGCCTGCTGGAGGGCCCTATGATTGTCAGCAAGGGTCTCCATAACTTGGGCTCGTTCCATCGCCAGCTGGATCGCTTCTCACGCCCGGGTAATACTCGCATAATCGGGGGGCTCCCCGACAAGGTCTACAGTCGGAATAACCAAGGCAGGGTCAGGTCCAGGCAGTGGAGGGGTAGACCAACGGCCAGGTGCTGGGGGTTCGTCGGAGAAAGAACTGGAAGAGGTCACTGGTGAATAAAGGGTGGGTGAGTTGGTGAATACGGAAGATCTTCAAGCACATGGACACCTACTTATATGTTGAGGAGACGGGACAAGAATGCACGGGGTCTTGCCGCAGTTCGGAAGACCAGCGCGCAGGGGACAGCTGTGGAGAAGTGCCAGAGAAATGGGGGCCCTTCGTAGTTATAATAATAACTGGCGTGAAAGATCTCGATCACTCTCTTGAATGAGTGACAGGGAGTGACCAGGGTCCCGAACTGGTCCAAGGTCCCGAGTTCGGAGAAGATACTAGGATGTCCTACACTACAGACCAAAGGACCAGTGCTGCTAGGACAGCTTAAGTTGACCCCAGGTAACAGGTGGGTCCCAGACAACAGGTGAACCCAGGTGACCGGTGGACCCCAGGCAACAGGTTGACCCAGACAACAGGTGGACCCGGGTGACCGGTGGACCTCAGGTGACAGGTTGACCCAGGTGACAGGTGGATCCCAGGTAACATGTGGACCCCAGGCAACATATGGACCCCAGGTAACAGGGGCCCTGGGGTACCAGGATACCGGGGCCTAGGGGCCTAGGGGTGCCAGGGTACCGGGGCCTAGGGGTACCAGGGTGCCGGGGCCCAGGGGCCTAAGGGTACCAGGGTACCGGGGCCTAGGGGTACCAGGGTGCCGAAGCCCAGTGGCCTAAGGGTACCAGGGTACCAGGGTGCCGGGGCCCAGGGGGTACCGGGGCCCAGGGGTACCGGGGTAACGAGGCCCAGGGTACCGAGGCCCAGGGGTACCAGGGGTACCAGGGCCCAATGTGCGAGGGTGCAGAACCGGTACACAGAATATCGAAGATTACAGAAGTACAGGGTACCAAGGAGCCAGTCCTTCCTCCAAGAGTCGGCACGTGGCACTATCCAGATCAAAGGGTTAGGGTTAGGCAAGAAAAGCATACAAGGTATAAGATAAATAAACACACTCGAATTTGCATTACATGTGGCAGCTTTAAGCGCCCCTCCTAAGCTTCTCCGTCGCTTCACCTCTTCCGGGCGGGATACTCTTTGGGCCCCCCGACGTCCAGCAGGTGTTAGACGGCTCAAGCAGCGCAAGTTGAACCTCAGGATAGTTGGCCTCAGGTGTCAAGTAAGTGTCAACACTCTACGACCCGCTACAGGAAGCGGTTTCCCTACGGGGAAGAACACAAAGGGGTCCAAGGACCAAGAACAGTCAGCCACCAAAGGGGTACATAGTACCAGGTGCATCGCTCTCGACTAAGTCGATTGAGCCCAAGAAACCCGGTCCCAAGTGAAGTATATCCACTCGGGGACCACCAAGTCCAAGTTCTACACAAAGACCAAGTCTTTAAGTCTTCTACGTCAACCGAGGAGCAAGACCAGCCAAGCCGACGGGTACACAAGGTGAGACCCAAGGCCAACACGACACGGTATCGGGGTACCCCCTCCGTAAGTCGGCAGTCCGGCGCCGTGTGTGTTTATGGATCTCCTACGTTGTTTGAGAATCCACTCCACCACAAAGGACCATCGGAATACGAACGCCCAGCGCGCTCGTAAAGGGATTGCAAAGTATCAATCCCTTCACGCATTTCAGAAGAGATGCGAGCCCTCCACCAGGGCTCAGTAAGGAGGTACGCCTCCTTAGGCGCTCTTGACGAGGTGCTCAGGCACACGGGCATGGGTCGCCCCAAGAGAGGCATAACAGGCCTGACTCTCTAGATAACCGGTGAAAACGATAGCATGCACCGGACGTACTTCTTTTCTCAAACTTATTGCGGCTAGCATAAAGTCTTTGAAACCAAGCCTCTTTCCCAACGTTTAAAACGTTGGTGATAAACGCGTTCCAAGATTGGAGGAACGCGTCAGCCTCACGCTTCTTGTGTGGGCCATACCATCGATGTTCAAGGAACACATCGATGTATAATCGTTCTCAGTGCGAAAGTTCTTCGCACTGGCGTCAAGGCCATGAAGCTTTGACGCATCAAACAACGGTATGGGGAACCGTTCGTTGGTCTTTCCAGACCAACGAACAAGCAGATGCTTAAGTAGCATCCATGGCTTGCGATCAGGAGCAAGACGCAATATGTTGCGGTCTAAAGCCTCCTGCGTGGTGTCAACAGAAGTACCGAAAACCACGAGCATTAGTGTCAACAGAAGTACCGACTCTATGAGCATTGATGTCAGTAGAAGCACTGACATCACCCTTACGGTCCCCACCCGAGTCACTATCCTTCGACTCGTTTGGCGAGTCGTCTGATTCATCAGACGACCCGAACATTTCACGGTACATTGATTCACTCAATGTACCACGATCCCTCTTCGTAACATTAGACGACGAGGTATCACCTCGGGGAGAGCCCGGGAGTGGAATAGGTGACTTTGAGCCGGATGCGTCATCCGACTCACCAGAGTAGTCAACGACTAACTCTGGGTCAACATCTTCACGTGGCGAAGCGGTACGTGAACCTGCAACAGGCGTTGCAGGCTAATGTTGACTTCCAGCAGACACATTAGTGTATGCTGGCTGAGGCTGTGAAGCCTCAGTAGCGGCTGCACACAGGCGTGCAGCCGAGCTCTTAGCTGCCTTAGCAGCGACGCGCATTGACTTTGTCATAGCGTAATTGTTGAATGAAAGAAAATTCAACAAGTTCTCCTCTCCCATAGTCACTAATGTGACTGTTGGTTGAGGGGGGTGATGTAACGGGGCGAGCCCGTTACATAATATTGACACTTATATGAAGTGTCAATAAAAATATTATTATAACTAATAATATTTTGACAATATTACCTTTTCTTTTAATATTGTCCTATATCTCCTTGAAGTTGGAGATGCCCTCTCATTGGTTGATATGGGCCATCATATCAACCAATGCGCTGACCAATGACCGATGGACGCGCGCAATGAGTGGAGGGCAAGTTGTCAACATACATAGTTGTAGTTTAATATAGTTAACATAGGTTATAACATATTAGTTTTATTAGATTATTAACTATATTAAATACAGTTTTCTTTTCCCTCTAGACTAAGCGTTTGTTTAGTTGATAAGCTTACTCTGCTCACGTGTACGTGAGGTTCTAAGGCACCTGCTTTCACTGTAATCAGTGAAAGTAGACTATACTGTAATCACTATAGTCGGAGGGTGCCCCATTACACATGGTGGAAAATTAAATCATCATTAACTCTCTACCGGTTGCCAGGATAGCCAGGAGCATCTTGGCCAATCCTGCCACCAGTGCCCCTTCACCAAGAGTTTTTTTCCTCCGGAAGGAGAGTCGTGCGGTGGAACAGGAGCTCATTGTCCGCTAGGTCAACTGAGGCATTGGTGTGCCTGTAAGATATATACAGGAAATAGGGCTTCCTTCAGGTGCAATAATCCTATTTTATCAAATTCAAATTATATAACAAGAAATATCATTTGTTTTTGTTGGGAGTATAAAATTGTGGTGATCAAAAGGTGATCATTGTGTGAGTAATATCAGGAGCAAGTTTGTCTATTATAGTAGTTTTATTATTCATGTGACGAACTTACTATATAATTCATGAATCTGATTCATGGTATCCCGCATCTGAATCATGAATCAGGCGTGATGCTACCCACTTTTAAATATAGATGTCCGACAGATTTATTTTTTAACCTTATACTTTGATATATGCTCCTAATGACAGACAGGAGAGGGAACGTCTATTTCGTCTCATGCAATGGCCTCAATCAGAGGTGGTGCTCTTTGGCGATTTTAATTGTGTCCAGAGTCCCCATCTCGACAGATTGGGAGGTTTGCGGTCGGGACGTCCCGAAAGCCCGGAGTTGGAGACATTACTTCAAGCTTTAGGACTCGAAGACGCTCAGACTCTGGCGGCTTCGGCAATGGAGGACGAAGTACCGGAGCCGGTGGATTACTACACTTTTTGGAATGCACGGTCGGCCAGCAGGATTGATCGATTTTATGTAGGCACGTCGTGGACAGCGGTCGTCCAGCAGGTACAAGTACAACTGCCTGTGTTTCATTCTGACCATCAACAAATTATCTTGCATGTTGCGGTCGGTGGACCGCGACGGAACCAAAGAAATAAAACCCAGCCAGTTCACTATCCCATTCGAACGCAGACGCCAGCGCGAGTCCACGACGAGCTCTTAGCGGAGTTAATACGTCGGGAGGTCGGACGGGAAGTCAACACGAGGACATGGGACAAAGCGGTCCTCGACTGCGGCTCAAGTATCCGTCGAATAACGAAAAAGGAAACGCAGAGGGCACGTCGATTCCGACAGAGAATCCAGGCTCAGGCCCGCACGCACCTGCTGACGCGAAAGAGTTTCATACAGACAATTGAAGAGGAGCTTCGACTGGCACAAACTATTCGACAGGGCCTCCGCCTGGAACGGACTATGGATAGTCTGCGATGGCAATTCAAGCGGGCCTCGAACTGGGAAAAAGACCAATCCATTTCCGGGCTGCGACGGATCAATGGGCAGCCTTTCCGCAAAGGAGACACAACTGCAAACCATTTCGCATCCGAGTGGCGGCCAATTCTCTGTCACATTCACAGTATTGTACCCGCCGCAACTCTCAAACAGGCGTTACAAGACTTTATAACCATGCCAACCGATCGTATCCTAACCCAGGACGACAACGAGATACTCATGGAACCTATCTCGTTGGCAGAGGTCCTCCGGGCCACCACGTCGCTCTCCCGACATAAAGCGGCTGGGCCGGACGGGCTCAACAACGATTTCATTAAGGACTATCAAGCACTACTTGCACCGGCACTCGTCACGATAGGCAACGACATACTGCAGGGAAGAACGCCACCAGCCTCCTTTTTGGAGGGATTAATCATCCCGCTCCGGAAGAAGGGGGATTCGGCGGATGCAATGGATTATCGACCGATAGCGTTGCTACAGTCAGGCAACAAAGTCGTCGCCAAGGTACTATCTCATCGCGTACAAAAAGTGTTAGGGGTTCCTATCCAAGACACTCAACAAGGTTTTGTACACGGAAGACAAATGTCTAAAACAGTCATGATGATGATGGCACACCTTTTAACGGCGCAACACGAACCGGACCTGGAGCCTGCGGATAGTCGAGCAATTTTATTGCTGGATTTTCGCAAGGCATATGACACGGTCTCGCGCGATTTTTTATTTGAAGTTATGCGGTATTTCGGGTTTGCGGAGTCCTTCATTACAATGATTCGGAACCTCCACCGTAATCCTACCGCCCGATTTGTAGTCAATGGGATATTATCCGACCCGATTCCCGTACTCACGGGCATCCGACAGGGTTGTCCCTTAGCACCACTACTTTTTCTTCTCGTGGCAGAAATACTAGCAATCGCACTACTGCAAAGTACCCAGATACGGGGGTTGCGGCATCCAGGCATTCCTACCCAGGAACAAAAATTCTCCGCTTTTGTTGATGATTCGACGGTTTTTTTACACCACGCGGGGCAGATACCGGAGGTAATGAGCATCGTTCATCGCTTCGGGGAGCTCTCAGGGCTGTCTGTACAACCAGCAAAGAGTGTACTGATTTTCCTCAATACAGCGGTCGCAATCTCCGATTATGAAGGAATTCCAGTACTCCGTCACGGTCAAACGACTAGGTATTTAGGGTACCAGGTGGGGACTGGAGACCTGGTTAACGCAAATTGGGCCTTACGGATTCGAAACGTCAGAAAGCGTCTAGCCACCGCGGCAAGCCTCTCAACCAGCGTCGCCGTGAGGATTCTGCTACTGAATGCTGTCATGCTACCAGCAGTCTTATTTACAGCTGCTGTCTTCCGGCTCCCGCAATGGGCTCGAGCAGAACTGCACAACATACAGAAGCAATTTGTGTGGCATCACACCACGTCTACATGCAACAGCAGACACAAGGTCAATCCAGGCCTGCTATACACACCACGCGGGGCGGGGGGATAGGGCTCGTCTCCATAGACGTCGCCATATGCACTCAAAATCTTAAGCATGCGATGAAGTGGCTGATTCAGAAACGCGATCGCTACTTCTATGCTTGGGCAGCGTGGTCATTTCAAGATATGGAGGACTCAGCTATGTGGAGAATCTCACCGGCATCACCCAAAGACGGTAGAAACAGCACGCTAATGGCTCCACAACCGGAAATCAGAGCGGAATTAAGCGCGTGGATCGCACCGACGTCAGAAGATTGGACGATCATTAAACAGCATCGTGATGGAATTTTGAAGCGCCTAGTGACGCACCTCGTGGCCACCAGGTCGGACCAGGATTTACTTCTCCAATATTATGAAGATATCCCGACTATTACAAACATGTACACCCAGGAGCACAAAGACTTTTGGGCGACTTACAGGTGGGATCAGAATCCTTGGATAATAGATGACAAGGGGATTATGCTATCAACAAAGAAATATCCACTACTACCCGCCTGCACGCTAGCTGAGCTACACATTCGGCGAGTGTCAACGCTGGATTACCGTATTCGGGTCCCAACAACGAAACTGAATACTTACCACACGCTGCCTAAACTAGGGCTATGGGCAACAGCCATACTTATGGCAAGTCCTTATCTGCACGAAGCAGAAGAAATGCAAATACCGGCTCAGCTTACGCTGCGGAACGGGCCGGAGGTATTGAACACGTACACCTGGACATTGCTGGACCAGGGGGTCACACACGGGCGCCAGAAAGCACACGCCGGCGGCAACCACGCCCTTATCTTCCTCCATCAAGCCAACGACGGACTCCATTGGATCATTGATCACATGACCGATGTGCCAGAAGCTGATCAACAGGAGCTGGTGGATCTACAACAGAAAACACGCAACACGGCGCTTGTATTCACAGCGCATCCGCTGCTACATGGGTTTCCATGGAGTCTCCCACCTTCCATCAACAACATGCACGCATTCAAGGCGCTTCAACGCCAACCATTCCATCGCGCCAAACGAAAGCTTCATCCAGCACTTACGGCGGTAATTACCAGGCTACATCAACGAGACGGCTCACAGGACGGTAACCACTTCCCGATGTCGCAGTCACCGGCACAACTCTGGGATCACGGACACACTCTCACGGAATACCAGGTCTGGGTATGCTACAGAGTAGCTACTCATCAGTTGAACCTGTACTTTCCGGGACGCGACATGGACTCGACGTGCAAGAGGCATCTGGCCTGCATCGGGCAACACGAAGGACTCCTGCATATCCTCTGGGACTGTGTCGGAGCATCCAAGTCTTGGGCATACATCATCACGCAGTGGACGCGATCGGAGGTATCATCCGCCCAAATGGAGTTGTACAAACAAGCAGCGTTATCGCGCGCAGCACCGGAGCTACCTCCGAGAGTGCGGGCAGATATTGAGCATATGTTCCCAGACAAAACTGACATCGTTGGACGGGCCTGGAAAAGAATATGGTGGATAGCGTGCTCCGTATGCGTGACCATGCTCTGGATTCAGCGAAACAGAAGTATTCATAAGCAGGAAAGTGCGTCCACGGAGCAAGAGGTAGCGGAAGTCAAACAAGTCCTTCTTCGCCAACTCCGAGCGGTCGCTATCAGGGAACAACGAAGGGATAAAGATGTGAGCAAAGGCGTCTACCTTCGCCTAGCAACGGAAATGTTCCAATACACCATCAACATCCGGCAGCCGGTACTGCATAGCCCACGTAACCGCCAGGAGACAACTCGGGGGTACTGGAATGGCTGAGGACTTTTCAGAAATCTTGTAAACCATAAACGGTAAATAGACAGTCTGTTTCCACCACCACCACCTTATACTTTGATATATATCTGTTGGTCTTCTTAAGGTGTGTCAAACAGCATTTTTGATGCATTTTCCAGCCTGCTCAACCCGTTACAGTGTGTGCTAGTAGCACGTGGCAGCTTATACAAACGTTCGTCTTCTTGGACAATCAAGCGGCGACCAAGCAATTGCAGAGCGATAGGAGTGTGGCAAGGGGCAAGTGCCAAGCACGCGGATACTCGATTCAAGTATATCTGCCATTACGCTCACGCTTAGATTGTGCAGCCAAGCTTCGTAAAGTCTGGTGAAATGATTGCAGATTTGCTGACAAAGACCCTACCTGCGTCACGGTTCGTTAAGCTTCGCAATTGTTGTTAAAGCACTTGGGTTGTAGAAAGCAAAATGCAAAGTGAATATATTTAGGTCCTTAGTTCACAAACTCTGTTGCTACTCTAAGCCTACTGGATTCTTCGACTACACGTTTCTAATCGCTATATCGCGCATTACTCATGGGATAGCCGCACATGAGTAATCTACTCTACACACATGACTCATCAGATAGTCGCTCATGAGTAATCCACGCTAGTGGTATTACTCATGGGATAGGCGCACACCTAACTAATCAGACCGTACATTCTTGTGGTTGCCGTTTGCATGCCGAGTCGCTTCTTTTACAACACTCCCACTCGACTCGGTAGCGACACCGACAGTGATGCCGAGTTTAGTACGGAGGATGGTGAACTGTGGCGCTTCGATTGCCTTGGTCATGATGTCAGCGAGCATATCTTGCGTTGGACAGTACTGTAGCACGACTTGATTCTTTTCGACCTTTTCTCGCACGAAGTGGTAGCGAATGTCGATGTGCTTAGTGCGTTTGTGGAACTCTGGGTTCTTGGCCAACGCAATAGCACCTTGAGTGTCTTCATAGATAGTTAGAGCGTCATCACCTGCTTCTTCACCGAGCTCACGCATGAGCGTCTTGAGCCACGTCGCTTCTTGGGTCGCCTCCGACAGTGCCATGTACTCTGCTTCGGTAGACGAGAGCGCCACGCTGCGCTGTTTCTTGCTACGCCAGCTGATGCAGCCGTTGTTAAGCACAAATACGTAGCCGCTGGTACTTCGTCTAGTATCAGTATCTCCAGCCCAGTCGGCATCGGAATAGCCAAGCAACTTGCCATTGCCAGCGCCAATAAAACGAATACCAAGTGTAGGAGTCGATTGCAGGTACCGTAGCACGCGCTTGAGTGCTTGCCAGTGTGTCGGACACGGGTCAGCAGCAAACTGGCTGAGCACTCCCACTGAAGCTGCGAGGTCTGGACGCGTGCCTACCATGAGGTACATCAAGGCTCCGACGGCACTTCGGTATGGCACTCCTTGCATGGTGTAGTTGTGCTTGCATCCATCTTTACACATACGCTTAGTCAACTTCAGTCCGGGGTCTTGCGGTGTCTTAACAGGCTTAGAGTCTTGCATACCGAACTTGGTCAGAATCGATCGCAAGAACTTAGTCTGTTTCATCGATACATCGCCTGACTTGTCATCTCGCTCGACTTCTATTCCGAGGCAGTACTTAAGCTCACCGAGATCGGACATCTCGAATCGCTCGCTCAATGCACGTTTGGTGGCTGCGAGGATGTCCATGTTGTTGCACGCAAGGATGAGGTCGTCGACGTATATGACAACAAACATCATGACCTTGTCGTCACGCTTGGCGTAGACACAGTGATCCATCTCGCACTTGGTGAAGCCAATATTGCGCATGAACTCATCAATAGTCTGGTTCCACATTCGAGGGGATTGCTTGAGTCCGTACAACGCACGCTTGAGCTTGCACACATGGTGAGGATGATTGGCATCAACGAATCCGTCAGGCTGCTTCATGTAGATCTCTTCTTCAAGCATACCGTTGAGAAACGCCGTTTTGACGTCCATCTGGTGAAGTACGAGGTTGTGCTGCGCGGCGAGGCTCACAATGATCCGGATCGACGCGAACTTGGCCACTGGTGCGAACGTCTCCTCGAAGTCCACACCGTACTTTTGCAAAAATCCTTTTGCCACGAGGCGCGCTTTGTATCGCTCGATGAGTCCATCAACAGTCTCCTTCACCTTGAACACCCACTTGCTGCTGATCGCCTTGCGATCACTTGGTAACGGCACGAGTTCCCACGTGTTGTTCTTGCACAATGACTGAAACTCTGATTCGCACGCTTCTCGCCACTGTCTTGCGTCGCTGGATTCCATAGCCGATGAGAATGTCATCGGCGCTTCTCCCACTGAATCCACGACGTTAGCACAGTCTTCTTCATTTTCTTCGTCTTCTTCTTCATCAATAGATGCGAGAAGCGCCGACATGGCTTCGAGTGGTGACGCAGTACCTTGCACAGACGATGTGTGCACACCACTTGTACTAGCCCCGCGTCCATAGCGTTTTTCCATTGGCGGCTCTGACAAAGCTTCTAGTGACTGTGTGCGTACATGTCTTTTCGACCCCGGTAGAAACTCGGCTGTCTGATGCTGCGGATACTGCGGTTGATGACTTGAACGCTGCATTTGTTGCCATTGTGGCCGATCATGGATCGATGCTGATTCGGGCATATGCACATCCATGTCTTCATTGGCAACCCCGTTGTCACGATCGTTGAAGCCTTCATCAGTGTTATGATACTCGATAGGGTCGATGCCACTTTGTTGCATGCACTTCCCGCTGTCGAACATGTCTTCCATGAATTGGGCGTCGCGACTCACTAGAATGCGACTGCTTGATATCTCTTCAAACCGGTACGCCTTTTCGTGGTCTGAGTAGCCCAAGAAGCGACACAACGTCGATCGCGCATCAAGCTTCGACCTCTTCTCTTTCGGCACATGCACATATGCGTGACATCCAAAGACTTTCAGGTTTTTCAACAACGGCTTCGTCTTCGTCCATACCTCGTGCGGGGACTTTTCATGGCCAATTGCTTGCGTCGGACTTCGATTGCGTAGGAACGCTGCCGTTGACACTGCTTCACCCCAGTAGCGCTTGCTTAGTCCCGCATGCTCAATCATGCATCTAGCACTCTCGACTAGAGTCCTGTTCATTCGCTCCGCCACTCCGTTGAGTTGTGGGGTGTACGGCGGTGTAAATTGCTGTATGATGCCTTTGTTGCGACAGAACGCGGCGAACTTGTTGGAAACATATTCTCCACCGTTATCGCTGCGAAGCATCTTGATGCGACGACCGGTCTGAGTCTCGGCAAACTTGGTGAACTGCATGAATCTGTCTAACACTTCAGACTTGCTGTGAATTAGGTACACAGTACAAAACCGCGACTTGTCATCGATGAACGTCACAAAATAGCGCTTGTTGGAAAATGTCGAAGTCTGCATTGGTCCACATACATCGGAATGCACGACGTCAAGCAGGTCCTTGGCTGGTTTACGTGTAGTTGACTGAAAACTCACTCGTGTCTGCTTTCCGAGCGCGCATCCGTTGCAAAGCTCCCACTTGCCCACAGATGTAATGTCGATGCCGACACCGAGGTTCTGCTTCACGATCGCGTCGAGTCCACCATGGCCAATGTGACCAAGACGCAGATGCCACAAGTATGACTTGCTCATCTGAGGCTTGTTGTATTCACTTGCGATGCTCGCGCTCTCGACTTGCACAGGTGTCATGCATAGTCTAAAGAGACCTTTGCCGGCACGCTCGCCGATCTTCCACTTCTGGTTCTTGAAATTTGCATAACAGGTGCTCGTATCAAACGTCACTGCCGCGACATCCTTGGTAAATCGGCCAACTGAGAACAGATTGCGTGAAAGCTTTGGAATGTGCCACACATTCGTAAGCACACCCTTCTTGGCACCACTTGGTGTCTTCATCATCATCACTACGTTGCCGGTCCCAATCGCCTGCACGACCCTGTCGTCTGCGAGATGAACGTTAACTGGATCGATGGTCTTATAGTTTGTCATAAACCGCTTTGAAAATGACATGTGCTGCGTCGCACCAGAGTCTATGAGCCAAGCTGGATTCTTGACGCTGTCGTCGTCGTTGCTCTCCAGTCCAGCTGCAAACAGGAAATTGTCCAATTTTTCATCTTGGTTGTGCGCCACATTCGCACGCTGCGGACGCTGCCGGTCCGCGTTGTCATGGATCCGTGAGGTACACTCCGCGATCCAATGACCCATCTTACCGCAGTAGTTGCACGCGCCAGTCTTCTTGAATGGCCGTCCACTACGCTTCTTCTCACCTGTCATGAACGCTTGACCTGCAGCGACCCCGTCACTGCCTTGCTCCTTGCGCTTCATGTCTTCATGTAGCAGCCTGGATGTCACCAGTTCCCACGACAGCGAGTCAGCCCTTGACTCCAAAGCAGTAATGAGAAATGCAAACGACTCACTTAAGCTTCCAAGAAGCGTGATCACCAGGTCGTCTTCGCTGACCGGAGCACCCACCGCGTCGAGTTGTTCCGCCAGTGTCTTTATCTTGTTGATGTGCGAAAGCACATCATCGCCTTCCTCCATCTTGGCCGTGAAGAAACGGCGACGAAGAAAGAGTTTGTTGGCTAAGCTCTTCTTCTCAAAGTGGCCTTCCAGCCGCGACCATGCATCGTACGCTCCACTTGCCGGCCGGACCAGGGGCAGCTGCGAGTCCTCCATCGCAAGACAGATTATCGCGAGCGCCTTCCTTGACTTGCGCTTGAACGTTGACTGATCCAGCGTAGTGGCAAGATGTTCCAGCTTGATCTCCCCGCTTGTCACTTCCCAAAGGTCCCGCTCCTCCAGCACCATCTGCATTTTGAACTTCCAAGTGTGGAAGTTCGAACCATCAAACTTGTTGATGCGAGCGTTGGTGGCGGTGGCAGCGTCCACGTTGAAGGCGAAGTCGGCGTCGGGGGCAGAGTCAGCAGAGCTTGGGCTCATAACCTGTTGTTAAAGCACTTGGGTTGTAGAAAGCAAAATGCAAAGTGAATATATTTAGGTCCTTATTTCACAAACTCTGTTGCTACTCTAAGCCTACTGGATTCTTCGACTACACGTTTCTAATCGCTATATCGCGCATTACTCATGGGATAGCCGCACATGAGTAATCTACTCTACACACATGACTCATCAGATAGTCGCTCATGAGTAATCCACGCTAGTGGTATTACTCATGGGATAGGCGCACACCTAACTAATCAGACCGTACATTCTTGTGGTTGCCGTTTGCATGCCGAGTCGCTTCTTTTACAACAGCAATATGTTAAAGCTAAAGGTTGTGCAAGGTACGGGCGAAAAAGCGTGATAAGATGTACTGTTACTAACAGTAACGTCACGGAAAAGACCGGTACAGGTCAAAAGCGCCCGCATTAGATCAAATGAAGATGGGAAATCAAACGACGCAACAACAGATTGGAAAGAACGACAAGATGGCTAGGAACAGATGCTTGACGAGCCAGTAGATGCTCTCTAAACTTGAGCATCTTACTGGCTTATGCATACGAAAGAGATTCTCTATTTTCGTGTGCACGTCGTAGGAGATTAATACCAAGTATGAGTATATCTTACTTTTACTGCTCCCCCTAAACAATCCTTACTTTACATTTTGCTTCTATCTCACCGTGCAATTGTCAAAGATAGTTGCCATGTCAAGTGCAGCCCGGATTTCCTGCGCGCTGGTTGTTATCGCGCTTGTCATTTGCTCGGCTACAACCGTGGCAACCCCCAAGTCGATTCCTGCGGGTGTCGCTTTGTTCACGCTGCATTCGTCTTATGTCCCGACCGCGATCAAGCGGCGCTTGAGGCGTACCACGGCCATGGAGACCATTGAAACTGCTGGAGAGAGGGCCCCTAATTTCCTTGTTTCTGAACTGGCTTCGAGCTTTTCTAGCCTGAAGTCACTTCCTGCGGCGTTTTACCAGAAAAGTCAAAGTTGGATGTTGTGGCTGACGCGGAAATCCTCGGACGAGATGTTTAAGCTTCTGAAGCTCAACGAGCTCGTTAAGCTCGACACGGATGGAACTAAATTGTTTGGAGACCCCCGCTTTATAGAGTGGGTCACTTATGTGAGGACAACATACTCAAAAGACCCCACAGCGGCGGCTGAGGAAATTTTAAAGACCTTAATAGATCATTACGGTGACGGTGCTGCATTGGCTAGACATTTAGTTGCTGGAACGGATATTAATGGTGTGAAACTCATCGCTGATCTCGCTGCAGACCTGCAAGCGGCGCAGCTTAAAAAGTGGGATAAGGAAGGGAAAACGGTGGAAGAGGTCTTACAGATTTTGGAGCTGCATAAGCCAGAAAGCAATCCTTTTCAAGACCCACTGTTTTTGCAGTTGTTAGCTTTCGTGAATCTTAAACACCCAAAAGACCACGCAGCGGTAACGTTAACGGCTTTTCGAAATTTCTACAAGAACGACGCTGCATGGGCCAAACTTTTAGTTGCTGGAACGAAGACCGACAGTGTAAAATCCATCGCTCTAAATCTGCTTTGGTTGCAGCTCTCAAGGTGGACGGAAGGTGGAAAAACGGTGGGTGAACTTTTTACGCTTGTGGGGTTGGAACAGAGTGGAGAAGGACTGTTTAAAAATATACTATTTTCGCAGTGGGCCACCTTCATCGAGGTAAGACACCGGGACAAACCCGAAGCGGCAATTGATGTAATCTTGTCGACTCTGGCAGCTCATTACGGGGAAGAAAAAGCATTGGCTGATGTTCTTGTTGCTGGAACGGAGATTTCCCATATGGCTAAACTCGCTATTAACCTGTTGAAGGGGCAGTATCAGAAGTGGGAGGACACTGGAAAAAGTGTGGAGTGGATTTTTACAGTTTTAAGGCTGGATGAGATGGGAGAAGGACTGTTTAAAAGCCCACTATTTTCGCAGTGGGCCACCTTCATCGAGGTCAGACACCGGGACAAACCCGAAGCGGCAACGGATGTAATCTTGTCGACTCTGGTAGCTCATTACGGGGAAAAAGGTCCATTGGCTGATGTTCTTGTTGCTGGAACGGAGATTCCTCATATGGCTAAACTCGCCGTTAGCCTGTTGAAGATACAGTTTCGGAAATGGAATGACATTGGAAAAGATGCGGAGTGGGTATTTACAATTTTAAGGCTAAATGAGTTTGAAGAAGAGCTGTTTGAAAGCCCACGCCTGTTCATGTGGCTAGTTTATGTCGAAAAGCGCTATCGAGCGGAGGACAATGAGGCTTATAAGGCGGCTATTGCGGCAGCTGAGAAGTGGACTGATCCGGAGATTAAAAAGCTGGCTAATGAGGCGGTTAAGACGGCTAAGGAGGTGGCTTATATGGAGCCTTTTGAGGCAGTTTTTTCGACCTTACATAGCCATTACAGAGACGATATGTTAAAAGAAATTCTAGCGAAGGGTTCGGAGAACGCCAACCCGGAAGTAAAGAAAGTTGCTGACGAAGTGAAAAAGATGCATGAGTGGGCCACTCAAGAATATTAGCAAGGTGTTTGTTTACACCTTTGAAGCTTGACCAGACCATGGCCAGCAGCTCAACTTTACGTGACTATGCTCAGAAAAGGCAACCCCCACATCAAGACACGTTCAAGGTCATGTAAACATTTTGTTGAATGACATAAGCGCTCCGTAGCAAACTCTCGCCAGTAGCAATGTCCGCTTCATTTGTCAAAGCATAAACTCACTACTAATGTCGTTCTTTTTTACAAGCATTAATCTTGCTTAAAGCGTAACTTTCACGTCGTTGCGCTAGGGCCTTTGGCAGCAAAGCTTCACTTAACATCGATCTTACTCAAAATTATTCCATCTTTAGCGATGATCTTTAGCGATCACCATCGTTCCTCAGTGCCACAACACTAAGGGAAACAAGTGTTTCTTTTCCTCTTGTAATCAACCTTTAGCTCTTTTACCGCTTGGTCGACCAGCTTAGAGTGCAGCCGTCGTTTCTTTAAATATAAGTTTTTCGAAACTTACAGAAAAGTTGCCAATGAGCCGCTGACTTGTACGAATCTTAGAGTTTCCAGGTGGATTTTGACGTTACTTTTGCTTTCTCTACTCTTGTTACAGAAAGCTTCCAATGATTGCTAGTCTTCCAGGATCGTTGGTACAAAGTTTCATCACTGGTCAAGATTTTGTAGAAGCTATCAACATGAATATTATTTTTTCTAAAACACCGATAGTCCTTCAGAACTGCAGCATGTAATGAGGATGCAGCCGAGGTAGATAGGTTGCTCCATACGGGGATCCTGTCTTCCCTGTTCGTTTCTTCGGCTTTAACGCGAGGAAACAATTCTTACGAAGCTTTAAACAATGACGATGAACCTGTTGTATAATGCGGCGGATGATCGCTTGCTAACGTTTGCTGCTGGTCATGCGCTCGGGTCTAAATGACATACTTTTTACATTTGTTCACGAGAGGCCTAGCTGGTATTTCTTGCGGCTAATATGGAGATTGCTTTATACGTGTAACAAGTGCAAAACTCGAACTGCCTCGCTCTTGCAATGAAATGTGTCGGCATCGGACATCGTAGCGCATTTTGGACGTGGGATCTCGAATTTTGGCTGCACGTAGTTGGCTCACGCAGTCTCTAACTATTGCGCACAACTACGTCATTCACAGCATTATATAATTGAAGACCGATCCTCGCTGAGGGTGTCTGATACCAACGACAGCTCGCCCTAGATAGCTTGTATAGCCGCCCGTCGGGACCAATCCATATTGACCACGACGTAGTACTTGCTGTCCATCATAGCTAGTGTCATCGTATTTATCGGTGCAGTGAAGCTTCTTCTCCACCTCCACTTCCACAACCACTACGCGATTCGACTCCGTCATCGGCACTACAGTGCCGTCTACAGCAGTTCGAAATGACAAAGCTGGTGTAATCCAGCTATTGTGTAGCGGAGCTACACAGCCTCGTGTAAACCCCGTTACATATTACATTGACTCGAATCCTCAGTGAACAATCGTTGTACTAGGATCTCCAGTATTAGGTAGTGTCGAAAAAATACCATCTTACTGGTACCGATTTCATCTTCGTTTCTGGCAATGTGCCGTCTGCCCACCCAATATGTCTGCTCTAGTTCACATCTCGAACCTGTTTTTGTTATTCAAGTGCACATTTACTTCGTCTACTGGTGCTTTCGTCACTTCACTGCTTGCGCTTTTCAATAGCGTCAGCTATCCCCAGCATGACATCCAGTGTTGCCGTTGCCTCTTCAGTATTTTCATCTCACCATCTAAATTTTGTGAAATGGCGGCATGCTGACGTAGATTTACATTGCCGTGAGGTTTTGGTAGACACTAGCTCTTCGTCACTTTGGCTCTACCCTCGGTCGGGACAATCGGCTTTGAAGTGATACTTCTCTTACAAATGAAGCACTGCATCACTATTTTCTTGTCCTTCAAGGGTCCTGGTGTTTGCCTTCTGACTTTGTCCACCACCATCTCCACCATTATGACCCCACGTTTACACCTCCATACTTAGCTTAGTATGCTCTCAGACGGCAAGCAGCGGCGCGGATCAGCCCACGGGTGTCAGCCAAATTACAGCAATTCCCACCCTTGGAGTTTGTACGATGGAGTAAGATGTTCAGCACCAATCCCCCGCGTGACATTACCATTTGATATTGTGATGAAGCATCAACTCAGTTCGCAGATTTGACGTCTGCTTGTTGACATCTGCAGCTGGAGTCATCTTCAAGACCACATATTCGTGCCATATATTTTCCACTGTATGAGCCATAGCTGTTTTGTTTTCCTGCTCTCATAGATCACGGTCAACGCTAGCCACGTGTCTGTTATCCTGTGATCTTGTCGCGAATTTGATGAAAAATGTCCGCCGGCAGCAACATTTTTATAAGTTCCACGATAGTCAACCTTGATGTTCTCTGTTTTCTCCACGATATTTAGAGGTTTCTTCTTCCTGTACTATCGCTACATTTTACTGCTGCCAGTTTTTTCCGTCCCAGTCTTTTGAGATGCCATCATCTCGTGTGCTTCAACGGCTCCGTCATCTTGAGTCCTAATTACAGTCAAAACTTCTCACCGCTGGCACTCAACTACCCTCTTGGAAGTTGAAATCTATCCGATTGTACTAGAGGGCCATCGAGAAGCTCGCGTGTTCGATTATCACCGTATAAAGAAAGATTCCTTTGTAATTAATACCTGAGCAGCTTGAAACTAGACTTGATTAAGTTAACTAGAAGTCGTATTCTTCAATGAAACTGCTTGTTTTTCAGCTGTAGCGAACCCTACCGTGACGTTCTGACCTCGGTTGGAGTTAGTAAGTTTGATTAGATCCCTTTTTAAATACTAATCATCTTCACGTATACTTAAAATTTTGAGCATAAATCTTGATTTCGTATGGGCGTTGTAAAGGAAGTTCCCAAGATTTCAATTCTTTGCAACATCATCGCTACTTAGCGAGCGTGAAACAATTTTGTCGTCGCTGCTGAGCTGCTGCAAAAGTAAGTCCGCATAGCCCAAGGAGTATGATGTCCGTTTGTGCCATTTTGTGCTTGCCACGCACGACGACGAGGGCACGGAGCATGTCAAGAACATGTGGAATCGTTTGCATACACACTATTTGCAGCACTTGCCGCGGAAGACCCGGTTGCCGCTCCTCGTGCTGTAGGAGCACTTCAGACCCACTTGTCGTCGTTTATCCGGCCTGAAGCGACCTTATTTATGTCACTGCTCGTGAAGGTGGGTGTTTTGGCATGAAAGGCACTAGATTGTAGGCTAACATGACAGCTACTACCGAGATATTATACGCTTAACTTGGCACTATCTTTGCTTTGCTCCTTTTTCTTCATTAATGCAGATGGAAAAAAGAGCACGAAGACAAGCTAGGGAAGGAAAAATCATTGTTGAAGAGACTAAAAACCGTTTTGAGGCCATTTGGCAGAAAGAAGAGGCCGACGCGATGCGCGCTATCAGTGAGGCTAAGCAGCTAGCCGTGCTTGAAGACGCGGATTTACCACCTTTTCCTCGCACAATTCCCACCAAGTTCCGCTGTTCACTGCATTTCGGTGCTGAAAACGAGCAAGCACTCCATGCGCGCTGTTATGTCTGCGAAGAAACCTTGAGAGGTGGTGCGCTCCTCTACTCAGAAGCGACAATGTCACCCGAAGCTCCCCAGTGATGCTAATCAGGCTGTGGAGACGTTAGAAGCTTCCGATGATAGTGTGAGTCGGCACGACAGATCGCCACTGTAATACGAGCCTTTTTTGAAGCGCAGTAAGAGTGGCGATGCATCTTCTTGTGCTTCGGCTTCAGAGTCTCGCTCATTTCCTTCTAGTTCACCATGTGCTTTTATGTTTAATGGCGTAGCTATTGCCGCTCTGACGCCGTTACCGAATGTGGCACCATCCGCTACACTAGATAGTAATATACCTCGTATCAACGCGCAGAACAGCAGAGACTTGTCAGCCAAGACGCCAGTGCTCAGAATCCAACACACAGCAGAAGGCCAACTACCGTCTGAAGCTCCTTACTGAGCTACGTGGCATTGTGGAAACAATCTCACAGCTCGCCAACCAGTTTGCGAGCACCATGGCAGGGCCGAACGTGAGTGCAAGCAGCCAATTGGATCCGACACTGGTGGAGGAGATGCAGCAAGATGTACGATTTTTTCCAGGAGCAGAAAAAAATGCCGTCTGAAGCAAGAGCTGGACGCGCTCGATACGGAAGGTCAGAGTTGAAGCGGACGCATGTCCGACAGTGAATAATAGTTTAGATTGGTGTATTGATGCCATCATCTACCGCAGTGATTGCAGTGTAACACTTTAGGTAACACAAGTATAATTTTTAAAGCGTTTCGTCTCTTATTCCGGTTTACATAGGCGAACAGAGGAGTTCCAGTGCGATAATTAGGAATAATGCCAACGTTTTTTTGTTTTTTGTAAGAAATTCTGCCCATCGTAAAAAAAAGAGTTCGGCCTTCTCTATTTTCAAGAATATCGTTCGTTAATTTTCCTAGCGACATGCGGCGAGGCAAAGAGCGTTGGACGCACGCGGACGACAAACGTCTTGGCCGCGCACTGTTGGGGGTGTTTACCAACCATGGAGAGGAGGTAATACTGAGTGACAGTTGCGCACTCTGGAAGCGCGTACAGCAGCAGTACCAGGACCTCTTGGCGGCCGAGCAGGTGGTCGCGCCGGACATTACGGCGGCCCAGCGCAGCGCTCGCTCACTGCACACGCGCTGGGCGCAAGGCATCCGCCCGGACATGACCCTCTTTGCATCGCTTGTGGATAAGGTCTGGAAAATGGCGGGCGATTAAGAAATGCTAAAGCATGTTGTAGATGACTAAACGGGTGCAATATGTTACACTATTTGTTAGATGCAAAAGGCTGGCAAGAAGCCCGCCAAGGCCATTAAACAGGCCACAAAGCTCTTCCGGGGGAGGCGGAGTGAGATAAACGCGGAAGCCGTGCGTCAATTTGTACAGGAACGACAGCGTCCGCCGACGGATAGCGGTGACTCGGAGACGGACGCAGCCCGCCCGAAATTTAAATTTGAGTCATTCCACTTCCGCCACTGCTATGACATTTTATGTTCGAACTCGTCTTTTATGGAGGCGCTGCTGGAGAAGAGCAGGACGAGTAGAGGGAATGAGCCACTCAAAAAGAATCGTCCGACAGAGGGAGCAAGTAGTTGCCAGGAGAAGTATCGATCATTTATATTGAGTGACGGGTCGGACGTACCCGACTCGCATGAGAGCGAGGAGCAGGTGACGATGCGACAGTATCCGCCTGCAAGTCAACTTCAGAAAGAGGAAGTGGGCTCTATTAGTAGGGAGCACCCGTCGAATTGGCAGTACCCTCAAGCAACTGCAAATGGCGTCAATAGTACCACCCATCCTTCCAACGTAGCACAACGCGATCGTGAAAGTGTGTTCATCACACTCGAAGATGCAAGCGACGTCCGCAACCCCCCTCGTCTGGAGTGCGACCGTGCAGTAGCTAATGAGTACGTCCGTCTGCGTATGCAGGCACTGAAGGATGACCGCCGCCTGAAGCTTTTGGCTGAGCTTCGAGGTGTCGTGGCAACGATGTCTCAACTTGCACAGCAGCTTGCGTGGAATGGTGTGGCATCAGCAGCATTGACTGCACGGACGGGAGGTGTGTGTCCCGCATTGGACCAAGACGTGTTGCGTGACATTGCCTTTTTCCGTCATGAAAAAGAGCGGCTGAAGCAAGAGATAGCTGCAAATGGCACCAACTCGAAATGACTGGACGCTATGAATCTAGGTACATTAAGGAAGAGAAAAGCTGTGAAGAGCTGTGGAACCCATCACCAGTGTAATGTGAATACCAACAAATCCGAACTCGGCTGTTGGACAAGTTACTACAGTGTGTAGCATGCCAATCTCGTAAAACTTGTACGAATTGTACATTATAGTTGTTGCAAATCCTTTTGAAGAGACAAGTGTATCGTTCACAATTTGCTTCGTCGACTATGGCAGCCAAGACATTAGCGCTGCTCCCGTTGGCCGGTCTGGCAGCCTGGAGCGGCAACGCGAAGCTCATGCGTATGCGTCACCAGGTACGCGCACTTCCAGGTGGAGAAGCGCTTGATTTTATCCCTGGCTCAATGGACGATACCATAATGGAAACCCTAGAGACGGGCGATCTCGTTTTCTTTCAGCGCAAACTTACGGCCATGCAGCCTCTAGCAGCGCTGCATACGTGGATTACTCGAGTGCGGCTGCGGCCACGCTTCGACCACTGTGGATGGGTCTACGTAGACCGTTTGGGACGTAAGTTTATTGTGGAGGAGACGCTGCAAAAGGTGCAATGTCGTCCATATAGCGCCCGCCTACTAACGTCCGAAGCCACGGAAATCTCCGTGTTACAACTAAAACTCGAGGTAAATTGAATGGTACGGTGTCTAGCGTTAGTTGGGGTGCATGTTGTTTACAGTATTGTGCTGCAGCGCTCTAAGGAAATGCAAGAGGCTGCTAGCTCTTTTATCACCGAGAATGTGGGACGAATGAGTCGGATCTCGTTGCGTCACACAGTATCTGCGTTAATTAGCCCGGACGCAATGCGTAAGACAAGCCCTGACGCAACACCTTCGTTCCCAAGTGCAGGTGAGTTTTAACAGTATCTTGTGGTCGATAGGTGCGGAGAATAAATGAATTGTGCTTCGGTAATGCAGCTTTTGTGGCCGAGGCGTACGATACGATGGGGCTGGTGAGCAAGAACCAGATCACCACCAGCCAACCATCACTACCAGCTACTGCCATCACTCCGCGCCACTTGGCAGAAAGTAAAGTCACATTGCAGGTGCCGCCGGAAAAGCGATTTGACGGAGCCAAAGCACCAGCTTTTGGCCGCTTGCTCCCGATCAGACTCGAGTAATTCGTGAACCCCAACACACAACATCATTTAAAAGTCCCCTTCGTTCGATGCTTTGATAACTAGCGCAAGATCCATTTAAGACTAACAGCCTGATGACGATGCTGACGCCAGCTGAAGATGTTAACGTTCCGTTAACTCGATGGGTAGACATTTGGAGTGAAAAGCTTGTCCGTTTGCGTAGTCACGGAAGGACGGAGGTACATAGGCCCACTCTTCACTCTCTTTGGTAAGTAGCTTCTTGCAAAACGAGCATGGTGTCTGGTAAATTTTGTCGTAGAAGCCGAGCCACGTGAAAAGGTGGTAGAAGCACGTTTCGGGGTGCTGCTTGCGAAAATGGTCCAAAGCTTTACGGCCGTGGAGTGTGACGAGACGAAACAGGTTGTGTGATGACTCCGACCATGCACCAAGAGGGGTGTCTTCGTTGTACGGAAAGATGGACAGCCGCTGAATGTACTTGGTAACTTGTATACCTGCAGCTCGAGCCTGCTCCTGCTCTTTGCTTGCCTCGCGCGCCTCGGTAATACGTTGCTTAAGCTCCTCCATCTCCATCTTGGTGGCTTCCTCGGCGGCAAGCTTGGCTTTCGTAAGCATATCACCTTTCTTCTTCTTCACAAGCTGCTGCTGCTGCAATTTCTTGTGCTTGTTGCGAGTGCTACGCAGACGTCCCCCTCCAAAGGCTGGGGATGTTGGCGTAGACGGTGTCATGGGACTTGCAGCCACACCAGTCTCACCATTCGGCCCATTTTCCGGAATTGGTGGACAGAACGACAGATGCACCGTCATCTCCTTATTTATTTCGCACTTAATGGACTTGATAACTCGACGACCGCCTCGCGTAGTCTCAGCGTGTTTAAAAAACTTGAGCTTGCGATTCTTAGCCATCATATAGTCCATCATCTCGTTAAGCGTGGCCGGCTGCTTCTCTCCAAAGGGATCAAACACCCGACTGCGCTTGTGTGACTTGGGCACGAAGAGACTGCAAGGGGTGGGCGGACAACGTACATCGCTCAGCATCTCAAGACGGGGGAATGTACTGCATAGTTGCTTCAAATACACGGTCTGTGCCTTGCAGCCCATGTCCTGCACTTGATTTTTCCAGTGATACTCGAGCAGGAGATTGCGGTGCGTCTGATTGACGCTTTCAATGGGCTTTGTCTTGCCGTCTATAGACAAACATTGAAAAAAGGTAAATCAGTAGGAAAAACACCTTATTATTCTATATAACTCGATCAATTCGATACGAAGTCGTATAAACTTTACACACCAAATTCGGGCACGAGCTTGCGTAAAAGCTTTAGATTGGTCTGTACACGCTCTAGTTTATTCTTAATGGAAAGGCGAAGTGCATTATCTGAAGCATGACCGGGTTCTAGTTTGGTTTTCGCCTCGCATAGTTCCAAGATGATGCTTTCAGCCGTGGAGCGTAGTACGCCCACGCGGCCCAGTAGAATATCGGCGAGGTAGAACGGATCGCTCATGGCGTTTGTATAGTGAGAGGCAGATAACTTGTAAATGACAGAAAGATCATACTTGATTGGATGAAATGTAGCAGCAATGAAGTTACATCCAATCAGAAACCTTTAACCTTCACCTATTGTCTAACTCCATGACCAAGGAAGTACCCTGCCTACTCTTTTCTATATGGCCATAAGGTTCTTCACTATCAAGTTCGGCTTCTTCCATCTCGACATCATCATCCTCTTCCTCGTCACCCGAGTCTTCTTCATCCTCAATGTCACCGTCATCATGCACCTCGTGGGTCCCTTCGCTATCCCCCTCTTCTTCGTTCTCTTCGTCGTCGACGATGATCGCATTCTCATTTGTTACATCCGCCGACAACAGCTTCTCCAGCAGACTCACACGCTCCTTTTTGATATACTGATCAATCTTGATGGAAGATGCGTGAACTGATGTGGTCGCAGTTGTATCACCTGCGCCCTCTTTCATCTCGACATCAGCTATAAAGTTATCGCCCGTCTTTCGCCGAGCTGTTTCGTAAGCGGAGATGGCAGCCACATGCGCCGCTACGGACTTGGCCAACGAATTCGTCTCCCGGCGGACATCGTAACCACCCTCCAGCACTGAAATGACACGGCCATCACATACCTCTGCAGCCAGCTTGAGAGTCTCCAGTGTGGCCCAAGCAAAGTCCTCTTCAACATATCCAGCAGGCACGTTAGGATTGTTAACAGCAGCCACACCGCCCAGGATGTCATCGCGATGACCATCAAAGCCTGCCGAGATAAAGATAATATCTGGTTGGAACGCCCTCATTGCTGGTAGTACCTTCAACTCAAGGGCGGATCGGAACGCCTGCGACCCGCTGCCAGCACCTGTATTTTCCAGCGCCACATTTACTCGGTTGCCCGTTTCGCATGACTTTCCCGTTCCCGGAAAGTATTTTCCTGACGAGTACAGATGGATGGACGCGAAGAATGCGTCCGGGTCGTCCTTTAGCAACTCCTCCGTGCCGTTTCCATGGTGGATGTCCCAATCAAGCACTGCGACCTTATGAACCCAGGGGTATAAACGCGCATGGGTAGCACCGATCACTACGTTATTTAGTAAGCAAAAGCCCGACGATGGAGCCTTTTCGGTTCGGCCATGACGTCCAACATGATGCCCTGGAGGACGCACTAAGCACACAGCATTGTGGTACTCTTTGCGCACAACCCGGTCGACAGCCAGACATACTGTGCCTGCAGCCGCACGGGCTACGTCCCAAGATTTGCTGCTTACGAACGTGTCCAGCTCCACACCATTCTGCTCAAGACTGGCAGCACCAAACGCTCCAACTAGCGGAGGTCGTCCTTTATTCTTTCTACCCCCACGCTTGGGTTTTGGTTCTTCACGAATGCCCGAGTCGGACTCGAACACAAGAGCTCTGGATGAGGGAGAAGATGCTGTGGGGGAAGAGGCAGATTGCGACCCAGCCTCAATCGATCTTTCCATTAGCTGCCGCAAATAAGTCGGCGAGTGTACCATCAGTAATGTCGTCTCTGGGGGACAAAGCTCCTCCGGTGACATGGAGAGACGGTCGAGTTTGACTGTTTCTTGATGCTTTTTGGCGAGCGAGTTCAGGATGTTCACCACCCGCTACAGCATGAAAATACTTGGTCAGAGGCACCGCTACGATAGACAAATACAAAACATTGACAAACTATTTAGACTCACCTCCATGCGCTCGGGACACTCCGGGTGGTTCTTTGGTGTCTGGTGGTTAAAAAACACCGGATGGTACATCACTAAGGTCGTTGGCTTTACAGGCGGCGGGACTGGGATCGCTTGATCCTGCGTCAAATCGATCATTACACGTTTCAGCTCCTCCATGACGCTGTACGACTCTGTATTGTCCTCATGTGTCACGGCCAAAAATTGCGATGTTATCTGCTCGCTCTTGACCTTTGGAGACAAGTTGGACAAAGCCACACTTGTAGGTGTCAGAAACGTAGAGTTTAGCTCCGTCGGCCACTGGATGCTCTGCCATTGAGCCAAGCATGATTCAACTGCCTCACGTAGCTCCTGTTCCCGCCGGAACTTCCCGGAAGCTAGCTGCGGCTCTATTTTTACGTTGACTTCACTGCTCACCGGAGCAGATTTCATCTTCAGTGTTTCAAGTCCTTGAGCTGCCAAGACTGGAGAATTGTCCGTCTTTGCCTTTGCATCGACTGACTGCATAGCGTTTTCATTCGGCCCTCTTTCAGTCTCATTCTGAGTGTCTATCGCATTACCTTCAGCAACGCAAAAGCTTGTGTCAGATGTATGTTCCGTTTCTGGTGCGATTGCAATAGATTCCTTCGTCGTTTTCTCAGCATTCCCGCTTTCCACCTTCATCTCGACATCTGTTGACTCTGGCGCCTCAGACGGCAATGCCGTTTCCACTAACAAAGTGGCGTTCTCGTAAGGCGTAGCTATTCCAGTTGTATAGTTCAGCAGCGAGCGCTGAATAACTTGTACCATTTCCAATGAAGAACTCCTCTCTTTCCAAAGAGCTTTCATTTCACCCATGTAAAAGGTGACATAGGCTTGCCGTAAGCTGGAACTGTTGTCCAAATCATCAAGACCGTCGCTCTCTTCGGTAAAAATTACTTCACTACCGTCGGCATGTTCCAACACATCGGATACAGTCGAAATTGTGTCTGCAACTCGAGCAATGTTTTCACGCTTAACGACTGCACTGTTATCGTCCAAATTAGAAGCCGCAGCATCAACCGGACTAACTTGTCCATCACCTGTCGTGAGCTCTTTCCCTGGTGATTGTGTCAAAGTAAGCAGCGAATTCCGGTAGTACTCGAACTCTTGAGCAAAGTCCTCAAACCGACGAGACAATTTTTGGAAACAGTTTAACAAAGCCTCTTCGCATTTGTCGAGCAGGTCGTGTAGGATCGGGTCAAATGAATGGTGCATCAGTTCTACTAGCTGAGCATCCTGGCCCACACGTTCATGGTTCTTTAACGCTAACAAGGTTTCCATGTCAAGTCTATCCATGGCTTCGCGATACACAGCCGAGTTTTCATTCAACCGGTCTTGCTCAATTTTTATAATCCCCTCCAACGCATGTTGGCGATTAGTTTCACGCTGGATATGCTGTCGCACTTGGCCTTCTTCAACATGTAGCTGGCGCAAGTGCTCCATCCACGCAGTCTTCTCATCGGTCAGAGAAGATGAGCATACTTCTTCCACTGAAACCTCCATTTTTGGTACCTCATTCTCCGTTAAATTGACATCATCAACAATTTCACTCGTCACCCGAGTCTTACTTGATAGAGGAAGCAATCGCCATTTGTCTTCGGTGCGAATGGCCAAACAAAACTCCCATTCAAACTCATCTCCGGAAACAATTGCTGTGGATGATGATGAAGCATCACCAGCACTTTTCCTACTCACATCGTCATCACACACCGCCATGCTAGGCTCACCCTCAAAGCAAGCTGCCTTGCTGTCGGACGATGGATCCTCTTGATAGTTGTCATCCGTAATGTTTTCACTTTCAGCACTTTCGTCAACATACTTTGTGTCGGCCTTCTCAGATTTTCTTGCTTCTGACTCATCTTCATGTTTCTCAGCCTTGACTTCCTTTGATTTTTCTGTTCCAATCGTTTCTTTCTCAGGTTTGCTTGTTTCCAACTTATCGTCCTTAGGTTTTCCCTCCTCTGTTTCGGCTTTGTCGACTGCCGTTTTCAAAAGATCCGCAACCTTGTTCGTTTCCTTTTCAGTGGATCTATTCATATTCGCAACTTGTGACACAGCGTCAGTATCGGTGCCTGACTCTTCAACATCCATATTGTTGTCAAGCTTCGCACTCTTGCAAACCGTTACTGAAGCAGCACCAGCTTCATCTTTGCCGGCTTCCGCTAATGCAATAACGGCCGAGCATCCGATCATTTCTTCTTCTTGTTTTTCTGCACCTGTCACTTCCATTATTACATCGGTAGCCGTCACAAGTTCTGCATCACCTAAACTACCATCAGGTTCTTCTTCTTTCATCTCTTCATTTGCTTGGATCAAATGCTTAGATGAGTCGATTTGTCCCCCACTAATTTGTGTACCTGGCTTCGAAAGTAGCACTTTCCGCTTTACGTACTTTGCATTTCTCAGAAGGCCAAATTCTTTACACGTATGAAGCCTACGCTCCGCATTGGCGGCGACAGTATTGCCACCAACGATAACAGGAGATGTACTATTCATGCCAGGCGAAGATCCAGTCTTCACATCACGCATAAAATGCGCCAATTTCTGCTTCTCGTTACTGCTCGACATTTGGAGTCGGGCACGATAATCGACAACAGCTCGCAGCTTGCTTTCAAATCGTCCATCGACTACCGAGTTCGGATCCCTCCCATCAACTCTTACCTTGAGGTGCGCAAGATCATTAATAGCACTAATCAACTTCAGGTGCCGAGAAGTAGACAATAAATCGAGGATAGGAGCACACCGTGGTGGAGGCTGGAAAAGTGGATCTACCGGTGCGTCAGCAACGTATAGCTTCAGTTCTTCGATCATCATCAAAACTGCATTCTGGATCTCCTTGTTACTCTGTCTCAGTTTCTGATCACGCGTTGTGAATTCCTTCTTGATCGTGGGACCAGAACCAAAGATTTCCGTTTTCACTAAAGACAAAACGCTTGTAGCATCGTCCATTTGTGTACTACCCTCTTCATCATTGCTTTTCGCGGACATCGAATGCAAACCCCATTGCACTCGCTGTGAAGCCTCAACCATTTTCACTGATCGCTGAAGCTTTGACAACCAAGCGTTAAGCTTCATAATCAACAAGTTGTACTTGGCATTTTGAACACTGCGGCTAGCATAGCTTGATCCGCCAACCATAGCCCCCTGTTGAGCCGATGTCTGTTTTTCCTCTTCAAGTAACTGCTTCAGCAACACATCGCGTTTCTCCGGGAAATTGAGAACAATCTCGTCAGGGTGAGCATTACTGCAGTCGGTCGGGCCTCCAAAGTATTTCAAAGCTGCCTTGTCATATGCCATAGCGGCTTCTTCGGCTGTGGAAAATGTGCCCAAATTGACGACCTTTCCGTTTACGTGAATCTGTGCGTGCGCATACACGCGATGTACCTGGACACCGAGATATTTTTTAGCTGACACACTCAAAGCCTTCTCGCTGAACTCCGTCTTACGACGCTTCGCTTCAAATTGCACATCGGTGGCGTGCACATCAGGTGATCCGTGCAAGCGTTTGCCACGTCCTCGACCTCGTCCACGCCCGCGACATCTACCTCGTCCACGTCCAGGAGAAGTAGAATAATCCACAGATGAAGGACGGACAGGTGACGACGTGACGCTAGTTTCTGTTGCAGCATTTGGAGTTTGCTGACGAACGCCGAAAGCCACCTCCGGTTGAACAAAGCTATCGTGAAGGTGAGGAAAGTTGAGTTGCGCACTTGTGCCATAATGCATGAGTGCGGCCTTGTCATAGGCATGAGCTGCTTCAATTTCACTACCAAAGGTTCCTAACTGAAGGTACTTGGATCCTTGCCAAAGCTTGGCCACAAACGGCTTTTTGACGCCCTTCATTGACACTTTAGCCACCCCCCTGTACTTGGAATCCTTCATGAGGATATCAGGCGTGTCCGTGACAGTATCAGCAAAAGTAAATAGATCTTCAGCTTGAGACGGAGACGTGTCCGGAGCTATTGCGGCTGTACCTGATGCAGCGACTATAGCACCAGCTGTGGCCATATGCTGCTTAGTAACATTAGTGTCTGTACATGTCTTGCAATAGAAATCTCCTGCTGGGATCTCAGTGAGTGGTGGTACAAGACAGTACGTGTGGTACTCTCCGTCACAGCCGTCACACAACAAGATGCTGTCTCCGTTCTGACTTGAGCCACACACGACACATCCGTGACTCTGTGTGTGCTGCATTTGTATCTACAAGACACAAAACGAGAAAGATCGTATTAGAAGAGAGGTGAATTATTATCTAAAGACAAGAATTGTCGCACTATTCAAGACGCCTTTTCACACTTGATGTTGTTTGCAATACCGGTGACCATATCGTCAATTTCCACGTGGTGTGAATAGGGGAAAAGTAGATGGCATACTAGATTCAAATGAAACAAAATGTGAATCTTTGATAAGCGCTTGTTTATACTAATTTTACCAGGTAGAATTTGAATTCCTCAATTTTGTGAAAAGTGTATAGTGTACATGTATAACTTGAAAAAAGGTAAAAAAAGTGAGAATTTAATGCTTTTACATAGGTTTTTCACAAATTGTTAAACGGACATTACTTATAGCTCTTTAGCTCTGAGATTACATAGCAGTCATAATATCACACGTATTCATTTAGCTCGCAGTTAACGATAAAGATACCGAAAACTACTCGCAGGTAAAAAAAATAGAATGATTTACAAGCCTCTTTAAAAACCTTTTTCTCCTTTAACCGTTAGCCAGGAAGAAAACAAAGAAGATAAGAGAATGGTCATGGGTATATTTTCTGCTGGTGTGACCGTCATCAAGACGCTTTTGAGTTTCTACGGCTCTCTGCTGCATTACTGGGTGCGTCGCGGCAGTTACGCGGATTGCCCGTTCTTCTCCGACGACCTGCACGCCAAGACGTACCTGTACTCAATCGCGCTGCTAAATTCGCTGTGGAGCCAGCCGCACTACCGTCATCCGAGCTTTTACAAGGACCTGGTCACAAACCTGCGCAATGTTGCCATTCCAGGCACGGGTGTGCCACTTTCGATTGTAAGCTCCTCGCGTCTGATCCTCTTCCCCTTTTTGCTCTTTGTCTACCCATGGCTGTGTGCCATTGGTGCTTTCTTTGAGCTGTCCAAAGAGTATTCGAACAAGCAAGGAAACATAATCGAGAGGTTTTTGCGGACTTTTACGCAGATCTTTGTGTGCCCGCAGAACTGGTTCGCCTTTTGGCGCATCAACTGTCACGTAGTGAGTCTGCACAGCCTAAAGACCAATTCACCCGGATACATTATGGAGAACAAATGGGATTTTCTCATTGAGGCCGAGAAGAATGACATTGCTGTGTCACCTTACCTCAAGACGCCAGGCTCGTTGGTCATCAAAGACCGCAATGAGGAAAGTGGAATGGGCATCTTCATGTTTCAAAACGCTGTAGCCGGTGGAGACTGGATCATCCAGGAGAAGCTGGACAACTCGCCTTTTCTCAAGAAGCTGTTGCCAGAGGTTGCGCCTCTCTCAACCTTCCGCATCATCACGGCGTCACGTCACGGCCTGGGCAAGACAGCGGCGTTGAAGGATGGTGGCAACGGTATCAAGTCGCTCAGTTGCGTGTTTCGCGCCGGTCTAGCAGGCGCTGCGACAGATCACAAGTCCATTATGTTCGACGTGGACATGGAGTCTGGCAAAATTCTTAAGGGATCCACCACCACGCACTGGTACCGCGTTGGCCCGCACCACATGTTTCGAGGCAACCTCAGCGTGGGACACGACATCACCAACCACCCGGACACTGGTGTTCCTATCACAGGCAACGTGATTAAAGAGATCAAGCAGATGAAGCAGCTTGCGGAGGAGGCGCACTACAAGCTTATGAAGGACGTGCCGCTCTGTGGCTGGGATGTGGCGCTGACTAATATAGGCGTGCTGCTGCTGGAGGTCAACATCTCGTGCAACTTTTTTTGTGGCACATTCGACCAGCCATGGTACTTCCAGTTCCTAGACGATTACTTTCGCCATCTTGAGAAGTTGCCCACGCCTGCAAAGAAGGTCAGCTAGGTGCGAGTGTTATCGAGCAGTATGACAAGCTGATCTCTTTATTTTTGTGGTCCCGGTACTGCATATGTGCTGCCTCGAGATATCTAGCGAAAGGGTTTTAACAAACCAATATATTTAAAGCGCCGTGTGCAATTTCAAGTAAGATTACTTGTATGGGCATGTAGTCGTGTATTGTGCTCTAAATGGCTGCATATATAATTCAAATGATAACATCTAGGCCTCGCCAATCGTGCAGCGCACCTAGACACTTTCTCCTATCTGCAGCAAGCGCATGAAAGTGTGTAAATCTGGCCTCAAACCTAGAGCGTAGAACAAATGCTTGACTACGAAGATGACCGACGCCACCGGACGGATGCTGTTCACATTGAGCTGCTCACTATGAACGACCTGCTAGTGCTGGGCTGTAGAGACAAACACTAGCGATTGCGACCTTCTAAATTCAACGCGTCTCGAGCATATAAATTACAGCGAGCATGTTTCCTTTCTCGTCACAAAGCCTAGGCTAAGAGACTGAATGCGTTGTGTCGAAATGTTCGCTGGCGAAGTCGACCAAGCGTTTTGCCATCGGATGCATTTTTGGCGGTAATTGGCTGCCAACGCTAGACTCGCGGCCACTTTCAAGCGTCATTATCGAGTGACGAAGGCACACCACAGACCATTGTACTCATTCGTTGACCGGATAAATTTAGCCTGTAAGCAATTTGTTTATATACTGGTCGCTATGGCATCACTTTGCCCGTAGGCGGTCAGGCCGTCGACACGCTCGCCACCTGATCCTCCAAACTTACACCTTTGAATATTGTGGGTTGTGATGGTATTATTTCATAACCTTTTGCATCAGTTGAAGCTGTAGAATGTGGAGCTGAAGCGAGCTCAGCCTTGCGTTATATCGCGGTCTGAAAGGAAAGCAGATCGATCATAGCATCCTAGTGCCTAACTGAGAGCTTTCGCATTGAGGGAGACAGCATCGCCGCAAACTTGATTTGTGGCAGCAAGTATCTGCGTATTGTATCCTGCAGTGACGTGTGAAGCAAACGAGAAGAAGTAGTAGATCTCGAATTTTTGCTGCTGGGTAGCTCTTTCATGCTAATGTATGATGCATGCGTATGCTTCGCCAGCGCTGAAACTTAGTCCACAACATACTCGGCTTTGAAAAACTCTTCAATCGCATATGCTGCGGATGTACTCAGCACAGTCACGTCTAGCAGTTTCTCCGCTCCGGCTTGAGCAATCGATGCAATATTGCCTGTTCAAAAGCTGGCGTTAATAACATGCATATGTAATGTAAAACTCGCGTCCACGCACCGAATAGATCGAGTAGCATGTCACACTCGACTACAGAAAGAAATGGAAAATTGGTTTGCAATGTGTCCATTGCATGCTTGCGAGTAAGTAATTCCTCGTTCATCTAACCAAAGGCAAATTAGTACTCATATCAGTGTAAAATGATGCATCGCAATAAATGTAACTAGCTTACGCGCTTTTCAAGCTGTTCAGCCTTCTCGGAGATTTGAAAAGCAAGTTTCTCGTGAACAGACACCTTCGAGCAGGAGTATCATGTCAAAACAGTGCATGCAAAATTGAAGCGTAGAACAGTACAAACCATGATCTTAACTGCAGCAGGGACGCTAAAAGCTATGAAAGAGAGTAGTGCAAATACAGCATTAGTCTGTAATGAATCGACAGTATTATTGATAGGATCACATGCCTGTAAACATCTTGATCTTCACAGAGCTACTAATCGCGAATAGCTGCAGTTTTGAGTACTGCGGGATTGGTAGGATAGCGATTGCAAATACATTTCCAAAGGCCTTTTCAGCTTTCAGCAGTCTGAGTAAAACACACACCATCAATTTGATCCGTATAATGATGTCTCTTTCGGACGTGGACATGAAGTTTCTTTCCTGTCAATGGTGCTCTCGATTGAAAACTGAGACACCTCCTTGTGGATTAGCTGAAAACACTATACGTCAGCTCTGTACTAAGCATTTCACATACAAACCCTTCCCACCATAAAAGCCACAGGCGGAAACTCGCCCTTTCGCTGGGAAATCATCACGTCTGAGCTCATTATCAGTCACGACTCTGAGCTACCAATTGACATGGCGTATACTTACCAGCAAGACAACCTGTAGCCTCTGCTTGTTCATGTACAACACGTCAGTTTCTATTTAATTAGGTTTCATGTACATGTTCGCGTCGCTCAGTCTTGTGCCTTTTGGTTGAAATCCGTAGATCCCTTCGAGCTCTTGCGCCACTGTATCCGTCATTACTACGTGTCAGAACCATAGCTAATATATCTCACACGTCATCACTACCTTCAGTAGGTACTGTATGCGGATTGAAGAGCACCAACTGCTCTCTAGCGCCTCGACAGCGCGTGATCTTTCTGCTCGTCATGTTACAAAAGTGCGGGTGTCAACTTCAACCTTGGGACCATCACTCTGCTACACCAATAATACACAATTAGTAGTATGAGCAGCTTCTGGCAAGGACTGGCGAGGCCGCTGTACTGCGTCGCGCCCATGGCAAACGTGACGGATGCAGCTTTCCGTCATCTTATCAGTGAGATTGCCAAGCCGTCGGTCATGTGGACGGAGTTTGTCAGCTGTGAGGCTCTGACGCACGACGCGGACTCACGCCGTCGGATGATGACTACGCTCAAGTACGCCGAGAAGGAGCGGCCTGTGGTTGCACAGCTTTTCGGCTCAAAGCCCAAGCAATTCTACGAGGTAACTACTGTATACATGGCTTTTTCTATTGTGCGCTGGACACTGCTTAATACATGATTGTCGTTGATTTTTGCGTGCTGCCAGTCGGCAATGATCGTGCGTGACTTGGGCTTCGATGGCATCGATATCAATATGGGTTGTCCAGAAAGGAATGTGAATAAGCAAGGAAGTGGCGCTGCGTTAATCTTGCAACCGAGCTTAGCGATGGAGATTGTGGCTGCCTGTAAACGTGGCGCAGGGGATCTACCCGTGTCCGTCAAAACGCGCATTGGTTTCCACCACATCGATTACAAGGACTGGGTACTTCGACTGTTGGCGACGGGGGCGGAGGTAATCACTATTCATGGACGGACGCGTGACGAGATGTCCAAGGTCCCGGCACACTGGGATATCATCGGAGAGGTGGCAACGTTGGCCAAATCGATAGGCTCGTCGGCGCTAATTCTCGGCAATGGCGACGTTGAAAATCTCGTTGATGCACGGCAGAAGGTTGACGAGTACGGAGTCGACGGCGTAATGCTTGGCCGTGCGTTGTTTGGCAACCCGTGGCTATTCCAAGGGTATCCAAACACCACGCATGTTTCAGTAAAAGAGAAGCTGGAGGTAATACGACGTCACACACAGCTTTTCCAAGAGCTTTTGGCAGGCCCAAACCTCATAGGGTTTTCGCGCATGAAAAAGTTTTATGGTTCATACCTAAAAGGGGTGCCGAATGCGCGTCACCTACGTGATCGTATGGCTCGTACGCAAACGCCCGAAGACGTATATTACATCATTGACGAAGCTCTCGAGCAGCTGAGTACGCAAGAGCACGTACAATAAAGATTCTTCTATACTATTGTGTTTATCTCGAGCGTCATCTAGTTATTCTACCTAGCAGCACTTAATGCTTGCTCATCGCCTACCCGAAAAGATTTTTAGTGAATGAGCTTATCTTCAACGCGCGCATCCAGCACCTCGTCAGGTAAAACTTTCATAGCATTTTCGACCATCTCCCGCAACTCTGGACGCGGACCCTTTCTTGCCCATTGAGCTGAAATTTCACGCTTGAACGCCTTCCCCATGAACTCACCACTGCAATTGATTAAACACAACAAAATGCCAGCATAAGTTGAAGCAATCAACTTTTGTGAGATCAGGAATTTACGTACTTGAAAAGTGCCAGTAGCGGCTTCATCAGCGCAGATGTGGCCATTGTGTAAGGGCAGTCGCTCAGCGGCTCAGTGGATCCCCATGTCGCTTGGAGGTGCTCGGCATACTCGAGATATCGTTCAAGAATCTCCCGACGTGACAAATTAGGGTTACGCTCGGCGTTGAAGATCAGGCGGTCAGCATCGCGGAAATTCCACGGCGTGTTATACGCCGCCCGTCCGATCATAACTCCGTCCACATTAGTAGTATCCAAAATCTCTCGCGCGTGCTGAATGCTCCGTACACCGCCATTGAGTGTGAACAGCATCTCAGGAAAGTCTTGCTTAAGCCGGTACACAACCTCGTAGCGGAGCGGGGGGATAGTGCGGTTATCCTTTGTGCTCAATCCTTTAAGAAGACACTTGCGCGCGTGTACAATAATGTGACGCACACCAGCATTAGCAATAGAGGCAACGTAATGATGCAGCTCCTCGTAACTATCGCAGTCGTCCACGCCAATTCGGCACTTCACCGTCATTTCCGCTGCTGGTTGGTCTGGATTCTCCTCCGCTGCCAACGCGATGTTGCGCCGCATACTGGAGCAAATGTCCCGCACACGCTCTGGTTCCAGCATAAGTCGGGCTCCAAAGCAGCGGCTCGACACTAGAGCACTGGGACAGCCGGTATTCAAATTGATCTCGCAAAAGCCGCCGTAAGACTGGCTCAGATGCGCTGCAGCTACATCAATACATCAGTCACGAGTCACGCAACGTCAGCTCCAATAGAAAGATTTAAGAGCTAAAAGCATAGCAAAAGCTTTGTACCACCAAGGTCTTCAACGCTATTGCCGCCAAGCTGCAGTGCTAACGGTGCTTCGACGGGGTCGTGACCTAGGAAGTAGTCAAGGTTCTTCTTCTGGTGCAGCAGCTGTCGACCAAACAAAGTTCAAAGTCAGATGCCTCTTGAGCACAACAATAAGCGCACCACTTCGCAGCAAGTAACATTAACGCACAGTTTGATCCACCACCATTTCGGTGTACAGCAGCGTCTTCTTTGTGATCATACGCATCATGAAGCGGTAGTGGCGGTCTGTCCAGTCCATCTATAATAAATGATAGCGTGTCAGCAAACATCTCGATCGTGCGTATACTGATAAAATGATGCATTACCATGGGTGCAATGGATAAGCGCGCAACGGGTGGAAGAGCAGCCATGCTTCTCCTATACATACTCTAGAGCCAACGCAATTGATTGGTTTAAAAAAATGGGTCATCCGATATGACCTTTTTTTGGCTTCAGCTGACGCCAGCCTAAAAGTAGCAAAAATTCGTCAAATATGACGCAATCAAGCTAAATTTTAGATAATTCTGAGGGTATCTTAGACCTTCATTCGCGCCGTCACATCTTCGAAATATCATAGTTGCTGACTACCTCTTCTCGGTGGCCATATGGTTGTGCCCAGCGATTTGCAGCGGTGCGCTGAGCCAAGCGAAACTGAAGAGACTGTTTCATGGCCATCACATCGTGTCGCACGACTGACCTTATAAATGGCCTTTCTTCTGCTTTTGGCAGTCCGTCAATAGTAGCTCTCTCGTGACGACTGACTCCGATGGCACCCACATGCAAGTTTATGACTAGCCATCTAGCTGATAAATCAATCGATGCAAGTGTCAATCTGATGCAAGAGTGTATGTGTTATGACGGTATGATGTATCTTTTATGTAAGACTAAAGATAACTAAGCCAGGCACTCAATCATGAAAAGTAAATTCTAAGGAATATCTAGAATGAAGGGTATTAGATTTGACAAGCTCGAGTGTCAGTAATAGTACCGATCTCATCCGACCAGACCATGGGACATTCGGCATTAGAAACGGCAATATTAGTTTTATCTAACCTTATTGAGTCAGCAGTCAGCAGCACCAATAATGTACCACCCCGTATTGAACGGTAAGAACAATACATTGGATGCTAATTGATGGAGATGTGCTCGGTGTACCTGTTGGCCATTCAGACTTGCACTGAACTCCAAACACTCGAGGTTTTTGTATGCTGCGAAGAGGGCTAGGTATCCTAGAGCTTGGCCACCCTTGAACCTCACTCAGACATTCGCACTCGAGCGCTTACACCATCGTCACCTCGCTCCTTCTGGGCAGGTATTTGCCACGCTGCACTTGCCGATCGGATCTTTCGTACGCTCGTATCATTTAGCAAGTTTAATAAGCGTTGAAACTTGTTCTTTTCCATCACTACCTTCCTCCTCGAAGATATCTCTTACAACACCTAGTCATGACACTCAGCGGCCACGTAAAACAGCTTGAAGCCGTACGTGGCTACGTGTATCCGACGGACGGTGCACTGGTGCCCGTGAGTGTCAAGAAGACGCCGATGGGACACCATTTACTGCACGGCTACCGCCACCGCAGCACTAAGGTCTGGCACTTTCTCGGCCATACGTTAGCGGCCATCAAGACGGTCAAACAGCGTAAGAAGTTCCTCGATATCGTGGCAAAGGGCGACCTGGCCGAGGTCATGGACGCACTCAATGCGGGTGCCGATCTTACAGCTAAGAACTCGTTGGGACAATCACCCGCCTACGTGGCCGCTGCGAACGGCTTGCACCACGTGCTGACACTGCTGCTGGAGCGTGGGGCAAACGCCAATGAGATTGCGCTGGACGGTACTACACCCCTGCACGTCGCTTGCGAGAAAAATCACGATCGTGCGGCCAAGATCCTTGTAAAGTATAACGCACGCCTGGATATGACGGCGCTCAGCGGGTGTACGCCGCTGCATCTCGCGGCCAAGAAAGGTTACTCGGAAATTGTGGCCATTTTATTGTCGGCGCGAGCCAAGACGGACTTTCCGATTCGGGAAACGACTACGACAGCGTTGCTGCTGGCCTGCATGGCTGGACACTCGACTGTAATCGAGCAACTGCTAGACGCTGGTGCTGACCCACAGGTAGAAGATGCAGATGGCAATACGCCCTTGCACTTTGTAAGTCGCATTGGAAATTATCGTGCTACCTACCTTTTGTTGACCGCCGGAGCTGATCCAGACATGCCGAACGAGAAAGATGAGACGGCGTTTGATATGGCCGAGCAGCAAGGTCACTCACACGTGCATTACCTGCTGAAGACGAACGGCATGGGTGTGGATGGCCAAACAGTGGATGAGATTGATATGGCTTGCTCGCAAGACGCTCGTCTTAGTGAGGCATTGGCCCGTAACCGACCGGAAATTGCGGAGGTGATCTTGAAGCTTCACATGAAGTACGCTTGCTATTCTGCGTTGGGTGCACTTCCCGAAGATGAGCGTGTGACGGAGTTTTTGGAGAATACCAACCAGCTGTTGTTTTGAGCGAGCTGTCGTTGAGGAATGTTTCATATACTCTAACTCATCACCAATCAAGCGAGAAGCGAATCAATGCCAAGTAATTCTAGCTCTATATTCAGGACGGTCACCGTGACAAAAAAAGAGGAGGAGAGCAGACGTATTTCCACTCCATTTGTATGTGTAGATATACCGCCTAATCGTGTCGGAAATGTAGTCAAAGAGCTCAATATTACGAATTGCAATAGTTGCTATGTAATCATGCACCATCTGACGTTCAGCCTTGCGTTATTATAGCCCTGTTTGTTTTCCGCCAATCAGCTTTTGTTTTCTTTCATGACGGAGTCGTGGCTCACGATGTCTACACCTAAGGAAACACCTGCTCCCAATATGACGCCATTCCACGCACCAGACGCTAGATATACCCTGGGAATTTGCGTTATGGAGCGTAAGGCACGTTCAGCTCCTATGCTAGAAATCTTGGGGCGACTACCGCCCGATCTTTTCCGCGTCGAGTTCTTTGGAGACGAAACAATTTTGAACCAACCAGTGGACGAATGGCCTCGTTGTGATGCACTTATCGCCTTCTTTTCCAAAGGTTTTCCACTTCAGAAAGCACAGGATTACGTAACGTTACGTCGTCCTATTTTGGTGAATGATCTAGATACGCAGTACGTCTTGCAGGACCGTCGTGAGGTTTATCGTGTCCTACAAGAGCACGATGTGCCGACACCTCGTCATGTCTTTGTGAACCGAGATGGCTATGGAGGTCAGATTGGACCTCCGAAGGTCGTTGAAGGAGAAGATTTTATCGAGGTGGACGGTGTCCGTATCAACAAACCTTTTGTAGAGAAACCCGTGGACGGAGAAGACCACAATATCCATATATACTACCCCATGAGTGCAGGCGGAGGATGTAAACGTCTATTTCGTAAAATTGGCAACAGGTCTAGTGAGTACGATACACAGGTCAACACGGTAAGAGCGGGTGGAGGTTCCTACGTCTACGAGGAGTTTTTGTCCACACAGGGAACTGATGTCAAAGTCTATACGGTTGGACCGCACTACGCCCACGCCGAGGCTCGCAAATCGCCCGTACTGGATGGCCGTGTGGTGCGAGATGCAGATGGCAAAGAAGTGAGGTGTCCAGTCATGCTTTCGACGGAGGAAAAACACGTCGCTTATCGAGTATGTAGGGCTTTTAAGCAGACCATATGCGGATTTGACATCTTGCGAGTACGTGATGCCTCGTACGTGTGTGACGTGAATGGCTGGAGTTTTGTCAAGAATTCCGAAAAGTATTATGACGACTGTGGCATCTTGCTGACACAGTATCTAGAGCAGGCGCTGGCTGGCGCAACGGATGGTGAAGACTTTGGCACGTACAGCTCTGCCTTCAGCTCGGTTACTTTCCGATTTGCACCGGATGCTCCACCTCCAAGTGCAGAGCTGTCGGAGCCGCCAACAGCGCACAGGCATGCAATGCTTCGTGGTCCATTTGCTTCGACTGTTGATTCTGAATTGTCTGAAGGTGATAGTATCACAGATGGAAACGAAGATACCATGTACCAAGAGGAAGAGCTACGTTGCGTTTTAGCTGTAATCCGACACGGCGACCGCACGCCCAAACAAAAAATGAAGATGAACGTCTGCCATCCAGCCTTTCTCCAATTTTACGAGGACCGCCTGCGTGAGGCTCAGGAGGAGAATGGAGATGGAAATGACCCAAAAAAGAAAAAGAAAAAGGACCTGAAGATCAAGGCCGTGGCAAACCTTGAACGTCTGCTTCTGGTAAGTAAAGATTTACTGCGCAAATACGAGACACGTGATCCGGCGTTTATGGAATTCTTGGAGCATCGCCAAGTCAAATTTGGTGAGGACGCAACTGATCGTGTCAAGGGGTATAGGACTCTGCGAGACGTGCTCCAGCGCTGGCAACTTGTTGGTATAAATCGAAAGGTGCAGCTGAAGCCGAAGGAATTTCTTGATGTGTCCGTTGCAACTACCACCGAAAATGAAGTGCAGCAGCAGACACGCCGTGTCAGCAAATTGCTGCTAATTATCAAGTGGGGAGGAGATCTGACGCATACTGGTGAAGAACAAGCAGAACATCTTGGTCAAAAATTTCGGCGTATGATGTACCCGGGCGGTGCTGGAGGTTTGAATCGTTTGCACTCAACATACCGTCACGATTTAAAAATCTACACAAGTGACGAAGGGCGCGTCCAAAAGACAGCAGCCTCGTTTGCGAAGGGACTGCTTGAACTCGAGGGCGACATCATTCCTATCTTGGTAGGACTTGTGTTAAAGTCGAAGGATGCAGACTCAATGCTAGACCAATCAGGTTCTTCCGCACAGGAAATCATAATGCGAGTGAAGCAGCGCCTGCACAAGATCATTCACCGCGAAGACCATTGCAGTCAGTTGATCGACTCCAACTCGCGACTTATTCGGTCGGTGGCTCTTGCACTTACGAAGGTTGACCAGCCCATAAAGAAGATGGGAATCATGCACAAATTGCTTCAATCGCTTAAAGAGCAACTGACGCGCATGATTCAAGAGAAGGCGGAGTTCCGCACAGAGTTAGAGAGGCTACAGCAGACAAAAGCTACCGCCGACCGGGTAGCTCCCGCGATGAGTCGATCAGCAAGTGTTGATGAGTTAAACCGAGCTAGGTGTCGCCACGTGCACTCGTACGCCCCTCGAAAGAAACATAGTGAAGGAAGCAACATATCAAGTGATGCTGCTAACAGCAGTGTGGGTCTACGGAAGATGCGGTTACATGAACCGTTGCCGCCAGAGGAAGTAAAGTACCCTGAGCCATGCGGACGTGAGACTATGGAGGTGATGCGTGAGCGGTGGGCAAAGCTGTACCGTGACTTCTACGTGAAAAAGCGTGATACTTACGATTTGTCAAAGATCCCAGACATCCACGATTGCATTCGGTATGATGCAGTTCACAATGCACACTTAAACTTGACGGACGTGCGTGAACTTTTGGAGATTTCAAGTGCGTTATCTCACGCTCTCGTGCCGCAGGAATACGGAATCAATGTGGACGAGAAAATTTTCATTGGGTCAGCTATGTGCCGCACGCTACTGTCAAAGATCAACACCGACTTGGATTTGGCCCGTGGCCTTAAACCCGACCTACTGAAAGACCATAATACTCACCGTCTGAACCCGTCGTATGCAAAGAAGGTCAAGTCTGCCCACCGTTCCGTGCGTACACGCTTGTACTTTACAAGTGAATCGCACTTGCACTCGCTATTGAACGTTCTGCGCTTTGGCCGGGGAGAATGCACGATAAAGAGCCCTATTGGCGAAGAATCTCGGAAGTGGATCGAGGACATCACCGAGCTCTGTTACATGACTCATTTTGTCGTGCGCGTTTTTGAGCGCGTCCAGTACCCGTTGGACGACTTTGCACGCTTCCGCGTAGAGATCTCTATGTCTCCTGGAGCTCACCAAGACCCTTTAGTTTCAGATCCGGAGAAACAGCTCCATGTTGCGCCACTGAAAATCATTTCACGTGAAGGTCTCACATGTCAGGAGCTGGTCGACTATGTTGCCAACTGTATCGACTACGCAGAGGAAAACGAGGCCAAGGAAATGATCAGTCGCACGGTAGCGAGCAATGGTGACAACAGCCCAGAGAAGGCTAGCAGTGGGGATGTTACACCTGTCAAGCATTCGATGTACTCGCTTAGCGACAACAGCGGCGACAGCAATTTCAGCAATGACAATTAGTCGTCCCTCAAGCCGGTAATCCAGTAGCGCCGACAGCAACAGAGCACAGAGATTCACATCGGCAGGCTTTTGATCGTTCATGTCGGGATGTGACAAAAGGCCAATGGCCAAGGAACCAATCGTTGTGAGCACGTGCATCTGGCCACATCAGACAAAGAACAGCATGCAAACGTATGAGGCATTGTAGCTCCTTATTTTATCTTGATCAGTCCTTGGCTCAGTCTCACTATACTGTAGGTCTTTTGCATTAGAACTGTTCAAGTTGAAGTGAACGTGCTCACTCCATTTACCGGTACTAAAAAGGTATTGAGATCCGTAGTTGCAACCCTTAAGTACGCACCCAAGGACCATAATCAGACATCGAATATACCTAATTAGAGGTCGGTAATAATTGTGCAGACATACAGTATCATTAAGAGACAAGACCACCGGTCGTCTTCCACCTTTTGTCATCCCTGATCCCGTACCTTATGGAGCGTTCAAGTCGCCGAGATCGTTCACATGAATCCGATGAAGATCCAAGCAGTGATACGGGTAGCAATACACGGCTACGCAGTCGTCGCATGCGAGATACACGCAGCTCCACAGCCGATTCCACTTCAGATGGTGCCGATACGGACGCGAGCTCGGCTGGTCAGAACGCAGACGCTCCTCAGCGTCGACAGCGACATTGCAATAGCACACGAAAGACGTCAGAAGAGCCACGCAAAAAGTCTGCGCGTAACGTGGAGGAGCAACAGTTGTTGCAGTTGGGGGATGACGAGGACGAGGAGGAGGAGGAGGAGGAGGAAGAGGACGTGAAAGATACTGCCAAGGTGAAGGAGGACGATAGAGGACGCGAACGCTCAATGTCTATTGCATCCAATAAGTCATCGACCTCCTCATCTTCTCTGGTCTCGGAGCAAATGACAGGAGAGCAACAACGTGCACGACTTGATCAGCAAGTGGCGGAGCTGGAGCAGAAGAAGAAAATGGTCGAGGATGGAACTCTTGCCGAGTTCTGCCGTCGTGTGGCTGCATTTAAAGAAGAACGCAACCGACTATTGCAGACAGCAGAGTTGCATAAGAATCTACAGCTCAAGAACGGACAAGATCTTTACCAATTTGAGGTACAGCGTGCTCATCATTTGTGGCAGCACGATCGCAAAAAACTCCAGGAAGAACTGCTGACCAAAGTAGATGCTTTTATGGCCAAGCTCCAGGTAGAGATGAAGGCGCTGTCCGAGCCTGGGGTCAGGATTTCCGGTGCCTGCAAAAAGCCTCCGCAGAAACAAGACGTGCAAAAATCATATACCGAGAAGCCCTCTGTGTATGTTACTGTTATTAAGGACGACAAGGGTAAGAGTCAATCGGCAACTGAACCCCAGCAGGAGGAGGGCGAAGTGCTAGAGCCATCATTAACGATAAAAGGAGCTCCGGTGGTCAAGCGACGCAAAATGGACCCGCTAATGAATGCAGAACCGATCGATATGTCAAAGTTGCTCTCAGTTGAGGTGGTGCGCTTGCCGTTCGACGAAGCCAGTGCCGACATTACAGCTATCGTTGGCGAACGTAAGGAAGCGGCAAAATCTACGGTTGAACGTTTACCGAACAAAGGCAATCGTAAGATATGCATCATGATGATAACTTGGATTGTTATCCCGGCCTCACGTTTTATTTTGTTGCAGTGCCTTTCAAGCTTGAGCGACGACGGTTATTTTGCGGCAAGTATATATTCGAGGATGGAGACGAAGTGCAAGTTTCGATGCCGCTCGTGCATGAAGACTACACGGGCACCGTTTCGTCGATCACGGATGATGCAATCTACATCAAGCTGGCATCAGGCCAAAAGGCGCGCATCTTCCTGCCGCATCTCGAGCGTCGCCGCTGTGAGCTCAAACCATTACTACGTGGCATTCCGTCCACGGGCAGCTTGCACAGCATGGGTTGGTCCGAGTATGATACGTTTTACTAGGTCAGGTTATAGAGCGCATGAATTGCTCAGCCCTTTATTTTTCATCATGTACATGTACTTTGCTTCTGTTATATACATTTGATTAATACTTTTGAAGTACATTGCGTATGGACCATACCGTTCTTTTGGTGGGCTTCGCAGCAACGCAAACTCTTTACCTTCCGACCAACACTTCCTGCTAAATTATTTGTCTGCATCACACCTTTGACACAGACGTGTACGAGCACCAATACAGTCACGTATATGGAACGTCCAAAGTTAATGCTACAAAATCTGACTACCCCCGCTGGACAGCATCTTGAGCAAGTCGGCATTGCGGTCACGAGCACTTCCATTCGATTCTCTCTCTGCGTCTGTATCACTATCATCTTGGTCCTCTGTAGTATCAATAGAGTCCGATCGCTCACTGCTCATACGGCCCAAAACCCCAATGACACCGCTTCCGACCCCGACAACGAAGCGCTTGAAGCCGAATGCACCGCTGAGCGCCATCACAAATTGTTTTTTAGCCGAAAATTTACGCTGCTCGACGTCCATATCGTCTGCATCTTGAGTGTGGAGATACATCCGTCGGCGTTTTAAGTCGCCACGTGGGTTAGCACCTCCCAGAATCATTTTCTTTCGAAAGCGAATCTCCGGAGACTTGACTTGTGACAGCGACACATAACCACCCGATGAGCTCACAGGTGGTACAGCAATGACACCGGAAGTTTCGAGAACATGATGGCGTGATGGAAGCGACGATGGGGCTGACAGGGGCGGGGGTGGTGGAGACTGGGTATCGATATCACTGATACTACTGCTGTTCGAGGTGGCGAGCGATAGCTTACCAGCAAGCAACATCGGCAATGACGTGTTCGTGGCAAAAGACCCAAGATTTTCGAGATCTGGTCGTAGAAAAGTTCTAAAGGCCGCACTCCACCGCAGCTCTTGACGAGTGTCCACTGCTCGTAGAAACCGCTGCAGTCTCTCACGTCGATAATGCAGCAGTCTCGGGTCATCGCCACGTAGATAAGAGATCCACCCTCCGTCCGGGAATTTGGGCAGTACGTCTTGCAATGCCAGGCCGTGACTGTCGACTAGATAGTTGTATAGCTGACGAAAGTCCGTGTATCGCCTTGTGACAGTATAGCGAACCATGGGTGGCATATCCATGTCCACGGCACTCTGTTCTTCCTCTGTTGTATCCGAAATGACTCTGCTATTGTTTTCCATGCTTGAATCACGCCCAGAGACGGTTGATCTGCCGCTATTGAAGCTGGATACACGCACATCCAGCACTTCAATATGGTACTGCCAACTGGCATTTTTACGGGTCACACCAGTGATCTGCAGGTCACGACTGGCGTCCCCAGCAGCCTGAAAATATGATGATTCTAATGGATGTGAAACGAGGAGATTACAATCACGTTTAGCGGTACAGGACGTATCAGAAGCCATGGGATATATGACGACGGGGTGTTTGAGAAGAAATCCTGTAGCTCACTGCGTAATACACTAAAAGAAATGCAACCAATTGCAATGGAAAGAGAAAGAGCAGACGTAGTAGCAGAGAGGTGTCGAGAGCGTACGAGAGGTCTGGACAAGCAATATTACGGGGATGAAGAACGACGTCGGTTGCGAGCACGATACTATCGACTCGGTCACACTGTCACACTCTTTCGTTAAGTTCGCTATCCGAGCCGAACTTAATGAGGATATCTAAGCTCACCCAAAGTTCGCAGAGCATTGCGAACTTAGCGCTTGTGAATGGCCTAAAATCCCAGCAAATTTCCAAGATGCCACGTCGAACGGCGTCAATAGTTTCTTCAAATGCCGCCTCTACGCTACGTGAGCTCGCAACAAAGATACTAGCTCAACCTCCGTCTAAAGAGGTACATAAACATACCATTTTTATATTCTTTTCCCCTTCTCTAACGCTTTCTTTTCTTGCTTTTTTGTCCTCATAGTCTCTCGATACGGTCGCAATCATTTATATCAAGTATCTCAACGAAGAAAGCGACGATAAAAAGACTCTTCAATGTCTTCAAGAATTAAACGAGATGAAGTTTCTGGAGAATGCTTTATGGCCATTAATTGACATTCTTCAGACTGTACGTGACTGTCGCCATCATGTGAAAAAAGCTTTTTTAGTGTCGGTATTGCTCCTCGTGAGCTTTAGAGCTCGAGAGGGGGACATGACGTCCTTCACGACCAGTTCAAGTGGAGTGTGGGGGTTTCTACAAGACGGGGAAGCAGCTTGGAAGGCGTTTATGACGACATTGTGGACAGTATTAGAGGAAGCAAACAATGAGATGAAGGACGATGCCAAGTGGACATTAAAAGACGAGACAGCGCTGACTCATTTCCTGATTACGTGCTTTCAGAGTCTTGAAGTACCGCTGGTGGCGTCGTCTGTGCTGCAGATGACGTCTCTGCCTCTCTGGACAGCACTATCGCCAACGCAACGAGCGCTCGAGTTCCAGACATATCCAAAACTGGAACGACACTGGAACCGCATCATGTCAAAGAATTCTTTCACCAAGGAAGAAGAAAAAATATCCAAAAAGAACAAGCGCCGTAAAGTGAAATTGAGTGCAGAGACTCCATGCCATGAGCAAACGGCATTGGTGCATCGACTAGATGCGTTTTTCCGGGAGCTAAAAGCTCCAGTTGAAGAAAACGTTTCAAAGGATGTGGTAGTTGCACGACTGCGCTTTGTAGTGTCATTTCTGGCCCTGCTGATTGACCTGTTGAGTCAGCTGCCCACGCGTCGCTTTTTGTTGACAGTATTGAGACGTCGCCACATTCGCACTGCGCTTCGAAATAGTGGGTTGGTGCAGTATGCGCTGCAGTGGCAGAGTGCTAACGACAGACAAGCTCTCACCAAGCAGTTGACTCTACTCGATGCATGTATGAGGTTTCCCGTTGATGCGCACATCGGCACACCACTTTCATCACGGGATTACCGCGAATATCAGGATCGCCACATCCAGGCATTGCAACAGCGCGCGTTCCAGTCATTCAGGAACTCGAGAGTGGAAGAACTGGCCATTGCTCCTTGTGGCCACATTGCGAACGCTTCCAGCTTCGCAGAGATGCTGAACTCCATCGTAGCTGCAGATCGCGCGCGGCTCTTGTCATTCGCTATCGCTGTTGGTGTGCTAGCAGATCACACTGAAGCTGACATGGTCTCTAATGCCGAATTGATCGAATACTTTCAGGAGGAATATTCGATTGATAGCAGCAACGGGCATGATGCACTTTCGTGTGACCAGCCTGTGTTTCCCACAGAATTAGAGATTTGGAATGAAATGCTGACCCGAAAGGATGCGTTTGTGCAAAACGCCAGAGCATCAGATGACGATGAACCGATGCAAACAGTGGACCAAGCAGCAAATAGCTTGTACAATGCTGACGATACCAACTTGTTTCCAGTGCTACCCATACGCAAGTTAGGTTTGCAATTTTTGAATCTCACGGACTATCTGCAGCGCAATTATGAGTTGCTCCGATTGGAAGCTGCTCAAGATATTCGCGGAGATCTTGAGACCGCTATCAAGCAGCTTGATGCTGTGCGTACTTTGCGCTCATCGAGTGAAAATGACACAATTTTTCGTGGTTTCTCTCGTTTTAGCGTACCGCTGGCAAGTGCGCTCCAAATTGTGAAAGTGAGTAAACCATTACTCGGCCAATCTGCTCCAGCAACGGTCATTGCGCACCTTGAGGTGGAGCTGTCCAGCCGCCATGAGCGTAAGCACTTTGATTGCTATCAGACCAAGGAGGTGGTATTTTTAGTGACGGTGAGAGCTTCAGCTGACGAAGGCTACGAAATGATGGGGTTTCAGAAACAGCCAAAAAACGAGGGATCCTTTCCTGAGAGGTACGGAGTGCAGTATGTACGTGCAGCGGAAATCGTGGAGGTGAAAGATGCTGTTGGTATCGCTATTAACAACGAAAACCCGGTTGGGAAAGGCAGCAAGAGGATGTTTAAATTAGCCTTGGATGGTGTGCAATACAAGAATGACCTGGAAGCTGGTCACCTCGAGGCATACGATCAATTGAATTTGTTGGTACGGCGTATGCCTCGTGACAACAGTTTTAAGGCTGTACTGGACACAATTCGTGGAACATTGCGTGATGTTAACAAGGAAGAATTGTTACCAGTATGGTTACATGACCTCTTTTTGGGATACGGCGATCCGACGGCTGCTCTGTATAAGTCGATTTACAAGGCGAGGGCAGAGAAGCAGTTGATAGTTCCTATGGGTGGGCTGCTTTTGGATGGTAAACATGCACTTGAAGCCGGTGGTGCTGAGAAGCTTGTGAATGGCGATGATGAAATGCAGGAGCTTAGTGCTAAGAATGCAGTTGCCCCATTTGTGTATGTCGAGAATGTCCGTGATGGCTCGAACTTTATTCGCGCGTCTTACAGAAAGGTGTCCGCTGTCCGCTCGAGCATTAATTCTCCAGTCCGTTTTACTAAAGCACAAGTGACTGCCGTGCGTACAGGAGTGTGCGAAGGATTGACACTCGTTGTGGGTCCACCAGGTTCGGGTAAGACAGATGTAGCTGTACAGCTCGTGTCGAATTTGTACCGCTCCATCTCATCACACGAGAAGGTTCTTATTGTGGCTAGTTCAAACCACGCACTAGACTTTTTTTTTGCGAGAATCCTAGTACAAAACGTCATCCATGAAGCTGAAATCGTGCGGTTGGGTCAACCGCAACTCGCAAATGAGAATCATTCACTCGGGAAGGAAGACAAGGGGGCTTTTCAAGCGAATTTCAGTTGCAATGGGCGCGTAGCATTTCTGTTGGAGCGAAGGGCAACCTTGCTGGCAGAGGTGGAGCAGATGGCGCAATGGCTCATCAAGCGCAATCCCACGCAATACGCTGGTCTGGGTGGCGGCTCCGCGTCATATTCTTGTGAGAATGCTCTTATTTTCTACCAGTTTCACATGAAGGCATTTCTTGATGCGGGTCGTGAGTCCATCGATGGCAACGGCGTAGCACTCGCGGAGTTTTTCACAATGCGTAAGGGCAAGCCGCACAGCACGGTCGAGGTCTTGCGTCAATTTGCTATGGATAATGAGTCGTATTTCGCAGAGCTCCGGCGCATTCAACCGTTTGAGTTGCTCCAGACCCCGCGCCAGCGTGGCGACATGTATCTGATCCATCACGCTCGCATTGTAGTCATGACATGTTCGCACGTGGCGTTAAACTACAGCAGGCTTGCGAACCTTGGGCTGAGGTTTGGAAGTCTGATTATGGAGGAAGCTGCACAAGTAAGCGAGTTGAACAGCCTTGTCCCACTTTTGTTGGCATGCTCCAAAAAAGCTGGATCAAGTGATAAAATGTGCTCAGGCCTCAAGCGAGTCGTACTCTTGGGAGATGCGAAGCAGCTTCCACCCGCGGTGAAGTCGCTTGCATTGAAAAACTATGCACACTTTGACCAGAGCCTCTTTACTCGATTCCTGCGTCTTGGTGTACCTCCCATTGTGCTTGACAGCCAAGGTTGCAGTAGGAGTGAGTTGGCTGACATCTACCGATGGCGATACGATGATATCTTCTCCAGCGAAGGTAAACCTACGTTGGGTGATTTGTCTCGCGTTAAATCTAGACGGGAATACCAGACTCGCAACGTTGGGTTCTTGCATGTGGCACAATTTGTGGACCTTTCCAAAACATCCGAAGAGCGTCAGCCGAGACCTTTTGCTTATGAAAATGAAGAAGAGGCCCGATTTGTTGTCGCTCTGTTCCAGTACATGATGAATATCGGCTATCATGCAGATCAGGTGGTCATTCTTACGGCCTACAACGCACAAAAAGAACTCTTGCAGCGGCTACTGCGCACCGATGCTTCTCAAGTTGCCAAGACGTGCCACGTATCTACCGTAGATAGCTTTCAAGGCCAGCAGAAAGATTTCGTATTGCTATCTACGGTGCATAGCGGGACTAGCGTGGGGCATCTGCGTGATGTGCGTCGTGCTTCAACAGCCTTCTCCCGCGCACGGCTTGGATTGTATGTAGTGGGATGCCTCAAGACGCTGGAGCAGGCAAAGGAGTTACATCCGTTCCTGTCCAATTTGTTGTCTGTAGCGAAGCAGCAAAACAGCAGTGGCAAAGCGACTCAGCTAGCACTTTTGCCATCGGAGAGGGTGGGGGTAGCCAAGACGAAGTCTGCAGCGAAGTCTAACGTCGTCTACGTCTCGGACCGGAAAGAGCTAGAGAAGGTGGTGAACGACCTGAAAAGTTAAATAAGTAATGCAGTGATCTTAAGCAAGTGCATACATTATAACTGGGTAGAGTTCCTCCGGAAAGTGACGTTGTATACGCTCTGCAAGCAACGTGAGCCCGGCTTGCTGGAATAAACTTTTGTAGTAGACGGCCGAGCGGGTGATACTACTGTCTTGTCGGTCAATGTCGTAGGGCTCACTAGTCTTGAATATGTTTTCCTTAATAACGATAAAGCCGTTTGGTGTAAGGGCCTTCTTGCACCGCTCTAAGTATAAAACAAGGTCCAGGTCCGTGAGATGTACTAAAACCCACTGCATCCAAATGAGGTCGTAACTTGCACTCGTTGGTTCAAAATCCTGCAACCCCATGCAGTACAAATCTCTCACTCGAGCATGCAGTATCTCATCAGTTCCTAGATATTGTTGCACTCCTTGCAATAGTCTCGGACTCTGCTCGACCAGATCTACGTGATCAAACATCGGTAGAAGCAATAGTTTGCTCACACGGCCAATACCCGCTCCACAATCCACTGCAGCATGACAGATCCACTCGGGTCTCTTTGTATCTTGAATATGTTTCAAAAACCGCTTGGACTCTCGAATATCAACACCTGAAACGTGTGCAAACCCTCCAAGCACCCCGTTGTCCGTCAAGGGACAATTAATCTCATTGTCCCAGTATTTGTGAGCACTAGTGTACCACGTAAGCTCCTGTGTCGTCTGTTTGTCTACAATTTCTCCCTCTTCATTATGGAATTGCTTGCGTCCGTCGTTTAATTCGAATTGCCACATGGCAAAGACATTTCTGTAAATAGCAGTAAATTATTACCAATTATTAGTTAAAATCTCAAGTTTTAGTAGCCATTATATAACTAATAAATTAAAACCTACTCGTATTCTTCATGACGCCTTATCTTATCAGAAGCATCCAGTGCTTGCTGCACTTTAGTCGCAATGACTTGTAATTTATCCCAGTCCACACGCAAGTAGCTACTTCGATCTCGAGGCAGCAGAAAAGACGTTGACATGCTGGCAGAAGGAGGCGTCATGACGAATTGCTTACGATTTCAGTAAAAAATAACATATTCATGTCACTAAAACAAGGTGAAGTCGTCCAATTAGTCGACCTCTAATACCTTATTAAACGTACTACATGTATCGATTGTCTTATAGCTCCACAAGTTTTTCTGTATACAATTCGATCGAGACCTGTTCAACGGAGTGAAGTCGGACGTCACCAAGTTCGGGAAGTGAGCCAAGACGGCCCATGTGATGCATTTGCCTTTTAAAAGCCCAATTTGTAAACAACACATACCGTCCAGCTACCAAGACACCACCCTTGGAATCCTGTCGACGGTATTTATAAGGAACCTCCACAGGTGGAACTACAAATTCTTCAGTCTTGTCCAATGGTATCGATGTGATCACTGACGCAAAGTCAATAATTTCAGCATTACGCGGACAAATGGACATGGAATCAAATTCCTCTTCCGAGGTATCGTCATCCGAGCCATCTAGTGGTTCATTGTCGTCGTTGCACAGGTCTGCTGACGATTCGGCAATGTACATCTCTAGCTCTTCCTTGTAGCTGTGCTCATCCCACACGCTCTTCTTGTCATTGTCCGCTTTAATGTGGTGATGCACCAGATTCTCGATAGTTCGTTGAAAAAAGTTGTGCTTGTGTTTCTGCTCCAGCGGTTTCGCTGTCTTCATCCCGTCTTTTTGACGATGAAAAACTTTCTTGACCCATTTGTCTCGACAATTCATCTTAGTCGTCAACGTAACGCAGTCCTTCGCTTTGTTGCACGTCTCCGTCAATGAAAAAAGGAAGAACGACTTGGTCGACGATGTAATAGGGGACTCGTTAGTGCTGCCAACTGACTCTGACATTGAAAAGTCGCGACAAGAGACTGCCAGCATCTACGAGACTAGCGTTGGCAAAGCTCAACTGAAACTGAAGCTCCAGCTTTTACGTTTGGGCCTGGTCTTGATTGGCTGGAGAGTAGACTCGACCCGAATCGCAGGAGCTGCACATGGATAAGCATTCACCATCTGGGCTTGGGCTATCAATAGAGGCTATCTGTATCAGTGGGATCTCCCGAATTACAGCCGTCTGTCTATATGTCAACCAAGTACAAATTTGTCGAGACAAGCCAAACTTGCGCCTACGAAACTAGTTCGTGTCGCCGTGTATACAATCTTTGTCTGCAAAACTTGCCTTCGCTTGCTTCGAGAGGCACTGCCTTGTTTCAAAACTAAGCTACCTAAAGCTTGTTATAAGCTTGTTGATTGATCATTCGACACAAGTAAGCAGACCTTTGAAAGACTCGTGATCCGATGCTATGGGTCAGGTAGAGCCCTTACGATAGCATGATGCAAACACTATCAACGCTATTCATTGTCATGCTTTCCTCGTCCACTTTCGTACAAATCGGTTGCTACTCAGCAAATCCCACCTTGTGTGAATGTCTTTTATACAGCAATCTTTACTGCCGTTTATCTTGCACCGCACGACACACATGAGAGTGACGATGGATCTGTCATGCGGTTCCTTATCGTTGGCTTGCCGCTGCTCACGGCACTCTCTCAGATAGTGCTATGATATACGAAGAAAGAAACTGGCAGGAGTGAATGAATAGATAAAAGAACCACGGTGTTTTCATCAGGGTCATGACGATGTCAAAGGACATTTTAGGCTTTGTCTCCACCTTTGCGATACTAGCCAAGAATATTTTCAGCAAGTGGCGATACCAGCCTCCAATTGATATGGGCTTGTGTGGTCAAAGAATATGCAAGATATTGATGGTATAACTTTCGTATCTGCTTGTGTCTATGCTTTGGAGTATTATGTCCACAGCAGCTGCAATGAGGACAATGTGTATTCTGCTAGTTTCACTTCTGCGGTAGGAATGGTAGATAAGCGTGGAGAAGAAACAATATATAAAGTGGGTGCGTTTGCATCACGTCGAGATACTTGATGATAGATCGACGAGAATCGTTTCGACTGTGGAAGCATTGGCTATATATATATATTTGATGCAGCTTCCTCTTTGCGGTATTTCTGTGTCTGTCTAGTAGCTCTTCTCGCGTAGATAAATGACTTATAATCTTCTTGTATTAACCATTGCAATTCAGTGCATTCTGCTTTAACGCGGTTGTAGCTTTGTCACTTCTTAGCTCTCTTTTAAATGAGAATTGTTTGGGTGTCGAGTCTCAAGTGGAAATCTCTTGTGCAACCAGTTCACTAGATACTTGAAAACCTCCTCTTTCTCGGGTTCCTCATAGATCATGTGATACAAACCGTCGAAAAGCTTGAACTCCTTGTCCGGGCTTTCCATTCGATTGTAAAACTTTATCGCTGCCTGCTGGTCGGAAACGCGGTCGTCTGACCCAGCGAGAAACAGCATTGAAATTCCACAAAAAGGGTTGACTGCATCTGAGACTCTCTTTTCCCGTTGAAGTCGCATCATGGCATGAAGAGATTGGTAGCCACTGCGCGGTGTAATCATATCACTGCAAGTCAGAGGATCATCCTGATACTTTTTCAAAAACTTGGGGTCACGTGACCGGAGATGGTGCTGCACTGCAGGAATAACCTTCACCGTTGGGAGCGCTGCAATCAGCGCACGAGTAAATTTCCACTGAGCCCATAGCACTGGTGTCCACGCTACACCAATTACAGGCGAAGCCCAGACAGCAGCATGAAACTTATGCTCACCTGAAAGGATAGTGTAGATACCAATAAGAGAGCCAAACGAAGCTCCAGAAATGATAAGCGGTAGTTCTGGTAGGGTCTCGCGCTCTTTCTCTCTTCCGTGCGGGTGAACAGGCTTAAGGTGCTTCCGCCAGTACCGAAGTGCAATCTTGTAGATGGAGCTCTTTGCAAACGTGATAAAGTCATTCGTGTCGTCAACGAAATCTTCAAAGTTGCTAATGTGCGCGCGTATGTTGTACTTGTCAAACTCACTTTCTCCGTGATTCAGCAGGTCGTAAGTAATTACACCGAAACCTTCCTTGCAATGCCGTTCGTAGAGAGCCTTATTCCGTCGACAGTGGTCACCCATACCATGCAAGTGTAGCACAATCCCACGCATTGCCATCTTTTTTGGAGGGAAAAGCGCAAAGTAAAAGAGACTCTGACCTCGTCGATTCAGGAAATTGCCTTCGTAGTGACGGAGGCGCAAAGTTGACTTTCGTTTCTTTATTTTCAGCATAGCTGACGTCGAGTCAGACAACGATCTCGAGCGTCGATCTTCAAGAATAGGAATTTCTCCATCATTGTGTCCTTTAGTCCCGTTAAATGATGACGCGCGCTCGCGAGTGAGATAGTTCTCAAGGAATAGATGAGGACCAATGTTTCGCTTGTCGGATTTGGTAAACGATTTCGAACGTTTTAGTTTGCCCTTCTCATCAGTTACGGTCAACTCCCGTTGTTTGTTTAGTGCCTCAATATTCGTCCATTGTTCATCCGAAGGCGACAATGTGGACGATTTTAAACGAGGCTTCAGTGCGGTAGGGTCTGAAGCAACCCGTGTGCCAGCCATGCGAGGTTCCCGCCCGTCTTTTGTCTCCTGTGAAGTAGTGTCGGATGCAAGCAAGTCGTCAAAGGTCGGCAAAGGCCGTGACCGAAGTGACACGGTCTTCCTTGTGGTTTGCTCTTCTTCCGGTGTCTGCTTGACCGTCTCGTCCATAAGAGACTCGTTAAAACATGACAGCGAAAGCGCCTCCGACATTTCTCTAGGCGACGGCTGCCATGTAGCAGCAGCAGTAGTAGTAGGTTCATCAAAGCAAGGGGCCGAGTGTGTTCGTTCCAAGCTCGACTTTACATCCTTTGACTTGACCGACTTTTGTGCTTTGACACTGGTCATGAAAGTGGAGTTTGTCCGAGCCGATTGTGCTCTCAACATTCTTGTAGCCGCACTCTGTACACCCTTAAACTTGGCGACAGAACATGCCCTGACATTAGCTGACGCTGATAGAAGCGAGTAAACTGATTGAGATTGGACCGGACTCGAGTCCGACTTTGACGAAGACACTGTGGTCAGAGGACTCGATGACGTGGTGGATGCAACCGAGGCCGCCTTAGTGGTTGCAACCGAGGCCGCCTTGGTGGTTGCAACAGGGGCCGCCTTGGTGGTTGTAACGGGGTCCGCTTGCGACACAGTGTCGAGACTCGCTCGCTCTTCTTGAATTGCAGACAAGGCAAGCGCCGTGCGACTCTGAACGGGCTTGAGGGGAAGCCCAATCAGTCCTCTGTTGCTGTTCGGCATCTTTTCGGAAATGGCGTAGCAAGTGTGTTTGATTCACAACAAGTATTATAGTACGAGAATGCGACCGACGATCGTTTCCATCGAAAAAAGCCGGACGCTGGGAACACCAACAGGATGGTGTGCCATATCACGCCAACACTCGCAGATCTCTAGATAGGCGTTGCTGTCATATGGAAGTCGCCGGTATTTTCGCAGACCAATGCTCGATCACGAGCTCGAATTTTTTGCATGTTTATCGAGTACTTTCTACCAGACGTTACTGGTTTAACGAGCATGCTTTCAAGCCAGCTCCTTATTAAATTTGCTACTTGTGTCGGTCAATTATGAGACGGTGCTATTGCGTTGTGTAGCAACATACGTGTGACAATATGAGGTCGATGATTAACTACTTCACCCGTGGTAAGCAAAAGATAATGAGCTATGTGGGATACGATCGTCTCTCGCATCCATCGATACCTTTTGCTTAACACTCTTGGGAGATCATCGTCGCATTGCAGACTTCTCACGCTTCAGCACATAGAATAGCGGATGAACCTGTATCCGAGGAAATACGACACAGTTACTGCAGATACATTTTCTTCTTGTCGTTATACCCTCCTCGGACTGCTGGTGGTGCCCAATTTTGCAACTGCTTATCCAACGCTATCAGCTTTGTTTCGTTTCAATCAAGCAAAGTATGTAAAACTGCTTCATTTTGATCTGGCATGAACAAACTACACCGCTCGACAGATTCTTTGAGCAACTAGTCATCAGGGAACCGACGGTGCAACCACTGGATAAGATGCCTGAAGACACTTTCTTTTTCAGGCTCTTCATACACCAAGTGAAATAGACCGTCAAATAGTTTAAATTCCTTGTCAAAATTCCCCATCGTAGTAAAGAATTTAACAGCCGCCTGCTGGTCGGAGATACCATCAGCGGATCCTGCGAGAAAAAGCATCGGGACCGCGCAAAATGCGCTACTGGGGTCTGTTATGCGCTCGTCTTCCTGCAGCTTAATCATAGCCTGCAGTGATTCGTGCCCAGTTCGCGTCGTCATCATGTCCATGGAAGTTAGCGGGTCTGCTTTGAACCTCCTTAAAAACTTTGGATCACGGCAAAGTAGATCGTAATGAATAGCAGGCACTAGCTTCGCCGTCGGCATAACTGCCGCCAACGGTTTTGCTAGCTTTGATTCTGCCCAAAGCAGTGGGTTCCAGGTTACGCCAATGGTAGGCGAACCCCAAACAGCAGCGTGGAAGTGGTGCTCTCCTGATAAAATAGTGTGAATGCCGATTAATGAGCCAAAGGAAGTACCTGCAACGATCAGGGGCAATTCAGGAAGCAAGGCCATGTCAGGGTCGCTCTCTTGGCCGTGAAAGTGGTAACGCTGGTGATGCTTTCGCCAATATCGAAGCGCATCCGTGTAGAGTGAACGCTTCACAAACGTGATAAAGTCGTTCGTATCCTCCACGAGATGAGTAAAGTCACTGATGTGCGCGCGCGTCCTTTGCTGATCAAGGTCGCTCACACCGTGATTGAGCAAATCGTAAGTAATCACACCAAAGCCTTCTCTGCACAAACGCTCGTACATGTTTACGTTTCGGCGGCAGTGGTCACCAAGACCATGCAAATAAAGCACAACGCCGCGCAGTGGCATCTTCTCCGGCGGAAAGAGGGAAAAGTAGAACAGCGTCTGATTTCGTCTGTTCAAAAACCTGCCCTCGTAATGGCGTAGGCGCAGGGGTGCCTCGGGAGCACTTATCCGAAGCTGGTATTCGGACGCAATTGCAGGAAAAATTGATGCTGTCGGTGAACGAGAGGGAATCGGATCTCCACTAGAAGCGGCTGTTGGTGACTTCTTGGTTAAAAGCACAGTTGATCGCATACGTGGTGAATCTCGTGGGCTCGACAACAAACGAGATGATGGCTGCAGCTTGTCTCTTGATGATGGCTTCACAAAAGACAGCACCTTCGAGTTCAGCGTGGCAGGCAAATTTGATTCCGAACATGAAGCGAGTTGACATTGTCCATCAGGGTAGCTGCTTGACGCCGAACGCTGTAGCGGGAGAGGACTCGCATCTTTAAATGCTCGTAGCCGACGATCTTCGACAGATTCGTTCTCAGAGAAAGATGCAAGCGAGTTCGGCGGTGAGAACGAGTTTGCGCGGCCAGGACTCGTAGCTTCAAAATCATGAGACGGCATACCATGATGCACTCGCTCTTCAGCGGAGGTTTGTTCAGAGCTTGAGTATGAACTCGGGATATCGTCCCCGACCGGACAGCTCGGTCTTCGGAACGGCGGCATCTGGCACTTTCCATGGACTTCGAATGATGAGGAGGACACGGAACGACATCTTTCTTGTGATCTCGAACGTGATTGTGATGCGTGACAAAACTCTTTCCTCCAGCGACACTCATACTTGTCGTTAGAAGAAGACGAAAGAATGAAGTTTAGTCTCGCAGACGATTTTGACCGAGGCCTTTCATCCGGTGAATTGTACAACGGTGACTGATAACGTTCACCCTTGGATGTAGCAGACGCCTTTGACTGACAAATCGATAAAGTGTTTAAGTCAGTGTCGCTAGACTGTAAGGTTGTATTTCGACGAGACGGTCTCCCATAATAGTCATACCGTTCTTGTTCTTCCTCTAAGGACGAGAAGTTGGACGAATTGAAACGTAATTCCGAGCGCGATGGGATGGAGCGACGGGTTCGTGCATATTTATCCAACGTCTCGCGATATCTTGTACGAGAATCAGATGACTGGTTTAATGGGGAACCTGCACGAGAATTGGATGACTGGTTCGATGGGGGACCTGCACAAGGACTTTGCAATTGATTTTGTAAAGTCTTCGAGTTGTGGTACTCGTCCGATGATGAGGAGGTCGTTGACGTTGAGCTGGAAACTGACCCGGACTTTGACTTGGACTCTTGATCTGACGGTACGAGGGCATTGCAATCTTGTGTGGACCTTCGAGGTCGTTCCTTCATCTCCTCGATAAAGCTGTCGTTGTTGGGTTGAATATCGTCCGGATGTTTTTCCCATTCGCTAAGACGTGACTCACGCATATTCGCTGGTTCCTCTACGATAACGGACATTGCAAGCGTCTTACGGCCGGCGGCATGGAGACGTTGCGTCCTGCTGTTCTTTGCTGGTCCCTTCCTACAGAGGGTCATCGATTTTTGCAATAGAGGCTTTAATGGACTGAGCTTGTAATAGGAGATGGGACGAACCAGAGGAATATAGATTAGTTAAGAAAAGGTATCAGTTATGACAGTAATACTATCGACAAGTGTATTATATACATTATTACTATTGTTAACTTACTATACAGTATTAACGCAATACTCATGACAAAATTCGTGAATCTCTCGCTTTGATACAGTAAAAGACGTCGTCGCATTTTAAGAGTTTTGTCCGTGTTGGCGGGACACAGTTGCTGCGCTTGTAAATGTGCTGCTCTGGATGGGATCGGACGAATACATTGATAGAAGGAGAGTTTACAAAAAAAACACTCATCAATGTGGTCTTCCGATTAAAATCTCCACTCATCAATGTGGTCTTCTGATCCCACCCGGAGCAGCAAATTTAAAGCGCAGACACTGCTGCCGGCCTACTGTATGCTCATTCATTGTTAATTGGTTCACGGCTTGTTCGTTGCGTGGCACTCGCAGTAATATCGCTCTTGGTCGCTAGAATCGGCATTGTAGTTTTTTTTGGCGTACTGCAAATTAATTCGTCGACACGCAACTCAAAGCAGCAGCAGGGTCAGTATCTTGATGACGTAGTGATTTGTCAACCAACTTCATGCCCGTCGTCGGTCCCACGCATTCAATTTGGGCGGCTGGACACAGAGCATCACGTGCAGCTATACAAAAGCAATCCGATGGCGTGCCGAAATAGTCAAATGAGTGGACGAGTGGCCGCTCTGCGGGAGATAAAGTTGTTGGCGATCACAACGAAGCTGCCTGCGTGGCCTCGTGGCTGTCAAAATCCTGGTACCATGGTTCACTAGGTCCTTCTTCACACACTCATACAGTGACACAGTAATCACCCAGACAACACGACGCCTTGCAGCGTGCGGGTTGGGAGGTAGGTAGAGCGAAACGTAGGAGAGCATTTGACCGTGAAGGTTCTCGAACCTACCTTTAAAGTGACACAGTCTCAGTGGTATGTAAAACGCCAAGGAAGACACGGAAGACTCGGGAGACGACGATGACGGTGATGACCACGTGCGTCGACATGGGTCACTTGCAGCGCTTAAGAAAGGACCAGCACCGGCCAATGAAGTGCTGTTATGGACACAAATCCAGTAGTCCGCGTCTACATCGAAGACGGAGAATGAACAAATGTGGCTTCAGCTAGGTACTGACAGTCACCTCCACCCGAATAACCGTCCACTGCTGCATATTCAAACATAACAAGCTGCAAACGAGCGCTGCCCTTTTGTTCCAAGCGCAATGTTGGGGCTTACCATCTTGACGAGGTCGGAGCAGCTTTGGCTAGTTTGCCATACCCCTGTGTCAAGCCCGTCAACGTCCATTAAGAAGCACTGTAAACGCGACAACCTACTATACGTCTCCGTTTCTATGGCTCGTACGCGACACTCAAATCTCTAACGCAGCAACACGTCGACGACGTCAACAAGCTCGTTTTCTTATCTTTATGCTCATTGGATCGAGCCAACTTTGCTGCACCCAAGTGCAAAAAAGGTAAGGTATTTACTAGAGAGAGAGAGAGAGAAGAACAGACCGTCTATTTCAAACATTAAGGATTGGCAAGATGTCTGGAGTGCTTCTACCAGGACTTCGTCATTCTTCGCCTCGCTGGCTCAATCTGCTGGCTCGAGACGTCGGGCGTCACGGGGGACACTCCGAAAAGGGCACGTGGAATCGGGTATCCAGCCCAAGGTGTAAACAGTGGCTTAATGATCGCAACAAGCGCCGGGCACCACACCGATCAGTCCCGATCGACCGCTGATGCACCTGGACGAGCCGATCAATTCACGTTCTTGGCAAGTTCACTTCGTGGGACCGAGATTCGCGCTCAGCGATCGAATCGGCGTCTTGAAGGCTGACGTAGAATAGCAGGAACTATTGGGGAAAGAGGGAATGATAACCGCGGTCGTCGATCCTCTCCCCCCGGGGGTAACAGGGTTGGTGCTCCCCTTACGGTTCGCACGCTGCGCTTGCCCCCCATAGCGCACGCAGCAGAGGGAATACCTCCCCCCTCTTATCCTGGGCCTCCCGTTGGAGGGACTTCCCGCCCTGGTCGGAGGGGGCCGGTTGACCGGCTCTTTGAAGGTCTTCGTCTCTTGGCCGTTGTTGCTCGAAGGCGCGAATTGGGAAGTTAGGTAAGGTATTTACTAGCACGCACACGTAAGTCTTCCTCGCAATGAGATTTGTAGCAAACGTACGTTTCCATACCAACACTGTCTACTGGATTTTAAGTGTAGGTCGGCATCTCACATGCTGCATCTAAGAAATCTGGGTTCGTCACAGCATTTTGTAGCCAGCGGCGCCATGTTGCTCTGTGAGAGTATGTCGTTTGTACCCCGGAGGAGGTGCCTACCATCGTAGGTGCTCGTTGAACTCAGGGACCACGTCAGCTATTGCAGGTGACGAACAATTCGCACATGGCCGCGTGTCCGGAGGAAGAGGTGTAGTGACTCACGCCAGAATTGAACATGTGGTACGTATCGGCCTCGCACAGCCGTTCAAACAGGAAGATACAGATAGATATATTACCGGCCCTTGTGCTGCTTTTCCAGAGGGGCATCGCATGTCGCTTGTCTCCAAATACATATCCGGAGTTTGCATCTCCTATGGATCTGCCTTCTCGAAAGACTCCGGCTAAATCGATGGTTATGACGCCAGTCTGCAGTGACCAAATGGTATTAGACAGGTCATCAAGCTGAGCTAAATTGTTGTCAACGAGAGCTGACTTAGCATAGATCAAGCAGGTGTATGTCCTTGGACAACAAGCGTACAAACAACAAGTTTGCTTACGATATTTGCAAAGGTCGACGTAGTCAAAATGTCTTCTCGACAAACGAGAGAGCATTCTGACTTACGCTAGAGTTCAGCTAGCGTTTGTCCGTCCGTCTATCAAATCACTTGCACCATGTCACCATCGCGCTTTTGTCTGGTCTCGCGTAGCCGGGGCTTCATTATAACGAGTCGGAAATGTTTGACAACTGAGCAAGCGGACATCCAGATCCCAGCTGTTCCAGAAATAACGCGCTGACAAATGCAAACATTCGCGCAAAAATGGTGAACTGCCGAGGTCAACCCATTGGAAACAAAGGGCAGTCGAACGACAAACTTGACAAACAGCCGTCGAGGTCCATGCGACCATTATATCTGCACAAGCAATCTCCGGATAAGCAGCCCACGATAAAGAAATTTGAATCGGAACCCGATCCGGCATCAATCATCGCTATGGCATCGACAGCAGATTTATCGCCTCTGACAATATCGCTAGCTTCGACCAAGTCCTCTTCTACTTCATCATCCGAACAAACGAGACCACAAAATATCCTACCATATCTCCGTCCATACGAGGGCAAGTTCAAGAATCGAAGAGAACAATCACTTTACTACTTTGCACTCTTCCCGCCCAAGAAAATGCCCATGCGAGGTATCGTATTATGTCTACATGGCATTGGAGATCATTGTAGACGCTATATCCCGCTTTATGAACGTCTGTGCGAGGAGGGGTTTGGTGTGCTTTCATACGACCTGCTGAACCATGGCGCCAGCGACTTTGATGCTCATAACACCCGAGCACATATCGGCAACTTTCGGTACCTCGTGGACGATACCAACACCTTTATCACGTTTGCAAAGAAGTCCATTTATCCTGATGCACTCAAGTATTGGCGAGAACACCACCATCCTTACCACCCACACGGTCGGTGCAAAAATTACGTTGTTGCTCCAGAACTCCCATTGATTATCACAGGGACATCATTTGGTTCGCTCATTGGGCTCCACACTGTACTCACTGGTAAGCACAAATTTCACGCAGCAGTCTGGGCTTCACCGACAATTGCTGTGTCCTGGACGCCGCTCTTATGGGCCGAATCCAAACTTGCTCGTCCACTCTCGACGCTACTCCCTAAGGCAAAGGTCGTCCCTGCGATTCAGCATGAATTGCTTTGTCGAGATCCTGCTTTCCTAGAAGATTTTATAACCGATCCGCTTACTTCCATGGACATGATGACTGTGCGTAGTGGTCATGAATCTTTGCAAGCCATGACTCGACTTCAAAAAGACGAGCGTGTGTCGAACCCCGACAGCTTATTTTGTGCAGTGCCAATGTTATTTCTAGCGGGCTCAGCCGATGGGATAGCCGATCAACAGGCTGCCATCAAGTTTTTCGCCTCAATGGGAAATCTGGACAAGGAATTTAAATTGTTTGATGGATTATTTCACCTCGTGTTTGAAGATCCCGAAAAGGAAGACGTGCTCTCGTACTTTGTTCAGTGGTTGCAACGGCGATTTCCAGTTGAAGCACGGCACTAAAATACGTATGCATATTGGAAACAGGTGCCATTGTTCAATACTTATCTATCATAGTGGCGTAAGCTTGGTCTGGTATTTTATATAAAATACCGAAATAAACCATATCCCGTCGAGTAATATATTCTGATCCGAGCCTACAAAGTAATACTAAAAATCTGCTAGATGATGCTACTATATCACTATTTAGAGGACATTAATACTCTACAAGCCTGTACTGAGAACTACGCTGATGTTTATTATTCGAAATGCTTTTTCATATCGTTTAAAGCCCGATTTACGATTACTCAGTGCATCATGTACCGTAGGTAGGAACAAAAAAGCTTGACAATCCATTGAAGTCGCTTTGTAAATCGATGATACTATTTGTCGACTACGTACTGTTGTCATCGTGACTAAACGTGATACGGCCTGTCTTTGTCGTTGCAGTCTTTGTCAGTTGGCTCGTCAGATATTATGGCTTAACAGCATGACTTCTTATTGTATGAAGAACCAAAAGTTACAGTTGATCTTGGTACCAATGTTATGTACATTAGGTTGCAGCACTACAGCATCGATAGTAGCATTGAACCGCATCAGTTACTGACTCTTTGACAGGTCATCCTCCAGAGACAAATGGCTTTCTTCCATTCAATTTTGCGATTTAACTGAAAATTGCTCTCACTCACTTCCAAGTCCATAACGCAATCACGCAGCAGCAAACCAGAAGTTCACAACCGAGAAAATGCTTGAGCACTTGGCAGAATTGTGTAAGAAATTACAGCAAAAGCCCGTAGGATTGCATATGAGGAGATAACCAACATCAAGGGTAAGCATCGTTTCTTTTTACCTTTAGTTTGCTTGAAAATAACAATTGAACTAATCGACTTAATCTCATGCACAGTGCATGGTGTTAGACGTTTGGTTCTATTACTTTCTGATTTTACCATGGTCGGGCACCAAGAGATAATACACCTCCGGCATAGTATCTCTCGGCAGAGCACAAAAGTGTGCGTTTTTAAAAGCTGTAGATATCACGCATTGTATATTATAGGTAAGGTATGAGTAAAATTGTAACATAATATCTGCTTACACGTAAACCCTAAGTAATATACTTAATGTAAGGTCTAAAAGTATCCATGATTACTTTTGACCTGCCAATTGGGTGCGATACACAAATGTGATCCACCCTCGTGCATGTGATATCCATCAATCTATTTACATGGGAAGGGATGACGCTAGTTGAAGCTAGGCATCGCGACGTCTCAGAAGGACGTCAGTTGCGATCTGAAATCTACATTTAAGATCATACGACAGGATACGCTTCTAAAGACTCGCGTATCCGATCTATCTATCTAATATATCTATATATATATATGTATATATAGCCAATCAGTAGTTAAGCATATATTTAATTATAATTAATTAAATATAGCTCAGTCTTGAATTTACTTAAACATACGCACCACGCACGAGAAGCCGAAAAGCTTCTGCGTGACGTCGGTGACTTCTTGTTTAGAAGTCCGTTGCGCTCTCGCTTAAGCGAGAGGCAACTGGTGATACGACTGCTTAAGCAGTCGACCAATCTCCTAACCACCCTCGCACGCGATGTAAGACGGTCTAACCGCTTCCTCGCTTGTGCTGAAGGTGTGCGCTAAGTAGCACGAGGCAAATTCGTAGAATTGCCCGTCTACACTTTGTAGCACCAGTAGTCCTTCCCACGACCCGTCTCTCTGAGCGTTCGTGTGGTTGAGATGGTCCTTAATATGGACTGGAGTGAATTCCCTCACCTCTCCCAACACCATAGGGAGTTGGCAGAGCATTTGGTGCAGGGACTTGGTGAACAAGACTTGACCAACCTCTTGTATTGTCCTCCTGAGCAACATGTTGCTCAGTTGGAGCAATTCGAGGCGTTTGTGATCGGACAGCGTAGAAACGCGTCCGATGTAAGCAGCCAATCAGCGGCTGAGTCCATTTGTAGACGGGCACTTTTACGAAGTTGCCTCGTGCTACTTAGCGCACACCTTCAGCACAAGCGAGGAAGCGGTTAGACCGTCTTACATCGCGTGCGAGGGTGGTTAGGAGATTGGTCGACTGCTTAAGCAGTCGTATCACCAGTTGCCTCTCGCTTAAGCGAGAGCGCCACGGACTTCTAAACAAGAAGTCACCGACGTCACGCAGAAGCTTTTCGGCTTCTCGTGCGTGGTGCGTATGTTTAAGTAAATTCAAGACTGAGCTATATTTAATTAATTATAACTAAATATATGCTTAACTACTGATTGGCTATATATATATATATATAGATATATATATATATATAGATAGATAGATCGGATACGCGAGTCTTTAGAAGCGTATCCTGTCGCATGAGCTTAAATCTAGATTTCAGATCGCAACTGACGTCCTTCTGAGACGTCGCGATGCCTAGTTTCAACTAGCGTCATCCCTTCCCATGTAAAATAGATTGATGGATATCACATGCACGAGGGTGGATCACATTTGTGTATCGCACCCAATTGGCAGGTCAAAAGTAATCATAAAAACTTTTAGACATTACATTAAGTAGATTACTTAATGTTTACGTGTAACTAGATGCCCTGTTACACCATCCCCCGTTTTATAACGATGTTTACATTTTGTAAAACATCTCCTAAGAGACAGAGAGACTGGCGAGCCGTTGTAAACGCGCCGCTTTAGTCTGCTCAGTACTCATGCCACCGAAACGTGGTAAGGCTGATGGGTCGCCTGCAAAGGCACCCATGCAGTCCAGCACTAAGCGCACGCGCCGCGATTTATCGCAGCCGTCGCAAAATGCGTCAGGCACTGGGGTGGATCTTCCATCTCTCATTGTAGACTACAATGAGACCACACCACTGCCATCACCCCAAAATGGCGATGAGCATAGTGCATTGATGGGACGTATGTCCCCATCATTTGAGGCACCCGTCCTTGAGGAAGCATCTATGCTTCCTACAAGAGAAGGTAAAACCCCGTCGTCTGCGCCTACGAGCGCAGCGACTAAGACTGAGCACGCTACTTTGAAAGGAGTAGTCGCGACTCAGTCAGATGTGACTCCTCAAGCTGATGTCTTGACAATCCATAATGGAGAGTCAGACTCAGGTGAGTGTGAGCTTAAAGCTCTACCAAGTACACCGTCGGCCTCACTATCCCGCCGTCGCGAGGGCGGCTACGTTAGTGGTGGCTTGCCACCAATGCCACCTCCATCTGAGTGGATGAACTCGGATGGGTCTAGTGCAGCGCTTTTGCAGCGTACGCTCATAAATTTTATAGCGTCTCTTCCTTGTGGAAAAAGCAAGGCAAAGCACTTGGTCGTGCTTTCCCAATTCCAGTCGTGCTGCGTTCTAACGAAACAGCCGACGAATATGAAGCTGAACTTCGGCGCCGTGTAACTTTGTATGTAGATGCAACTAAACAGCGGTCGCAGCGAATCAGCTTCGCCATGAAGCGTGCGCATGAAATTATGGGTGGTAAGCGACTACCAATTAATTCTCGCCACGCTTCTTCTACTAGTCCGTCCGGACCTAGCAGGAAGAATACAGCTGGTGCTGCTTTACATAAGCAGCCACCAGCCCATGCACGTCGACGCGCAAAGCGTCCACAGGATCCCACGAGTCAAAGCTCGTTGGGTAAACCTAAGGATATGGAGCTTTCGCTTCACAAACCGGTGGGCCAACAGCCTTCCAACAAGGAAGCGCGTATTCCCTTCCGTTTCCACCAGCACAGGTGGCGCCCGATAGAAGCGGCGATTACGCCCACCTACTCGCGGCTGCCTACCCTGCTGCTGTTCAGTCGCAGGCTAAGTCCGCTGCGCTGAAGAGGCAGGTGACAGATCTCGAGAGTCAAGTCTCGCGACTGAGCTCGGATCTGCGCGATGTGAGGACGAGGTACCGTCAGGGGTATGACCGCCTGAAGACCCGCTTGGACATCCTAGAGCGACTGGTGATGAGAGACCCCCGTCAAGCGCGGAGTCCTCCTCGATCACCGAGTCCTCTATCGCCTTGCTCGTATACGGGGAGCCTATCGGCTTCCTCGTCGCCTGATCGGCCGCGACGCTCGACTCACAGTCGACGTCACCATCGGTCTCGTTAGATTGATGTGGATATGTGATCTCTTCTGGATCAACATACTGTTTCAGACGACCCACGTAAAATACGGGGTGCGTCTTCATATACGGTGGGAGAGTGAGCCTCTAATTTAGGTCTCCAACTTCTTCAACCACTGTAAAGGGCCCAATGAATCGGGGCAATAGCTTAGTAGTACCACCAGGTAGTACAGAAAATGCATGTTTAGGTAGGGTAGCAGTACTTAATAGCACTTTGTCCCCCACACTAAAGTGTTCATTGTTTTTGCGACCATGCTGGTCTGCATATTGTTTTTGCTTGTCCTGTTCGCTTGCCATCGCGTCACGGACTTTACGTGTGATGGCTAACGCACATCCACAAATCGCTGAGCTTCGCTCACGCTTTTAGCATCCAGCTCGTCTATGACGCCTCCAAGAGGTCGTTCATGGGTCGACGCTGTTGATAACACTATAGTGTCATCATCAAGGAGCACTGGCATTTCTTATCGTGCCTCCTCTGTGACACCTATAGGTGACGTGACCCCTGCTAAACTAGCAGTGTCACTAGGGCAACCTTGGCCCTCTTTGGCATTCGCACCGAGCGAAGTGAGGGGCCCTCCCCCACTAAGACTCGGTCTGCGTACGAACGAGACTGGCGTTCGAGGATGACGCAGTACGCTAATGTAAAACGGTGTTTCACCCGTACTGGCGTGAACACTGTTATTAATAGTGAACTCCACGAATGGAAATTGCTTGCTCCATTCTTCGGGAGTCGCTACTGTACGCAACACATCCGCCACGACTCGATTGGCTCGTTCTGTTTGGCCATCGGTCTGGGGAATGATCAGCGGTTGACATGTGGAGCTTGCTTCCCAGCAGCTCAAACACATGTCGCCAAAAACCCTACGTAAAACGCGGATCCCGGTCCGATACTATGGACTCG